TTTAGAACCATTCCCTGCTCATCGGCAGAAGACAAAACTAGAAAAAGTTATTCTCAAAATTAAATACAAAAAAATACACTCTTCGTATTAGCGAGGCGGCTTTCTCTCAAGCGAACTCTGGGGAGTCGCGCACTCCACAGCTTCTGAGGGCTGCGGTCTGGACAAAAGGACGACGAATCACCCGGTTCGCCGAACTCAGTAGCAGCGACTTTTGACCCGCAGCCGCTGAATTCGAAGAAAGGGGCATCTGCACTGCATCGTTTTCGCCGCCCGTTCGACCAGCGACCCTTTCGCCATGGTGGAGAACAACCGCTCGTGTTACCGCTCAAGCGCTCCCAACGTTTCCCCACTGGCTTGCATCTACGCGGCAGCGAAAAGGATAAGACCAGGCGGGGATCTCGGCGTTCGAATTTTCCCGAAAGCCGGTTTTTCTGAACACGCTGTCCGCCAAATCTTGATGTGCGTGACAATCTGCGCTTCAAACATTTCATGGGGTGCCCTTTCGTGCGCCTAGCCTTGAACCTGGCGTCTCGAATGAAGACGTCACGGCGCTTAACAGCGGCTCTAGCGCACGTGGCGCGCGTCGTCTTTACCACGTTACGCTTACGCAGATGCCTCCTTTTGACGGAATGGCTAGGAATGCCGGCTGTTTCGACACACCTAATTTCAAGTGCACTGCCTTTGACAGGCACTGCCAAGACTCTAGACTGGTTAGCTAGCCTTTCTTCGGGCCCGTTGCTAGCTGTCTCTGCTTGCGACAGAACGGGATTCCCGATGCCATCAAAGCCAACCAACACGCCTAGAGAGCTTTTGATGTGTGAGGGTCTATCGCTGTCGTGGATAGCCCTAATTCTCTGGCCTTCGAACTTGGCCTCACGCTCTCTTTGACGCGATTCATTCTGTAGCGCTTTATCTCGCGCATACTGCTCAATACTTTGTCGACATGCGTCAACCTCTAGCGCCTTGCGATGCGACTCGCCGTCAAGCTCTTTTTGACGCGATGCATCTTGATCATGTGCGCTGCGAAGCGGCTCCGTCTCTGGCGCTTTACGATGTGCCTCTGCGTCCCGAGGTTTGCGATGGGCCTCCGCCCCTAACTCTTCGTGAGGCTCCTCAGTGCCCGGATCTCTCTGACGCACTTCGGTGTCTTGCACTTTGTGACGGGCCTCAACGTCAGATGCCTCGCGACTTTCCTCATCCTGAAGCGCTGCGCGACGGGCCTCCATCGCTTTACTGCGCGCGTCGTCCTCCAGCGCTTTACGACGCGCCTCGTCCTCTCGCTCTTTTCGGCGGGCGTCTACCTTTAGCGCCCTTCGACGCGCTTCAGCGCTGTCTCTATCGCTCTGACTTTCCTAGTCAGCAAGACTCGAAAGAAAAAAATATCTTATCAAGGCATGTCTAGCATGACTGAAGTCTCCTGCTTCCTCGAAGAGTAAGCAATTCAAAACATGCGCGATCTTGCTCGGCAACAACGTGGCGAGCTTCTCCACCAAAAGGTCGCGGCTAACACCAACATTACTGCAAACAACTTCAAAATCATCCAGAAAATGCGCGATGTTTTCGCCTGTCTGAAAGTTGTGCAGCTGCTGTTTGGCTCGCTCCCACTTAAGTGCTTGAATTTTAAGGTCAAGCTCTCTCATTTTGAGAGCATGCTCTTCCCTTTTGCGACACTCCTCGGCCTTCCGCTTTTCCTCACAAACGAGCTCCCAAAACTCGTCAGCTTCCTCGGCCGTCACATTCTCTGCCCGCATCACCTCGAGAATCGCTTCCTTTGTTTTAGCGGACCCGGCGGAAATCCCCATGGCTCCACAAATTTCAAGGAGGTCCTGCACCAGGTACTGCTCCATCGCGATCTCGTCCCTCGTGATGCTCTACTACTGATATTCACCGTACTCCAAAACTAATCTCGTGGTTTAAAGTACGTGAATATTGAATTATAACCAATAAAAAACACAAAACACTCTCCTAACATCTGCCTGTGCTAGAGAGGTCTGGTGAAATGAACAGTAAACGTTGGGCACTCACCCAACCTAAGTAGCCGACGATGGTCCAACTCGTGGCTGCCGTCGAACAGTGTCAGGCCTTCAGGGATCCGGTCCAACTTGCCAATGTTGAGATCCGGGGTTGCTTGTCCCAGCTTGCCGAACGATGCCGAACGAGGTAGCGTATCGCAGCGTAGCCAAACGCTATCACGGCGGTCGTCCTCGTGCTCAGAGATCCGATCCAACTTTTCAGCCGTTGAGATCGGGGTAGCGGGTCCCAGAGCAGCAAAACGTTGAGGACAGGGGTCCGATCCGGCGTGCCAAATGTAGGGTATCGTATCCCGTAGCTGCCAACCACTGTTAGGAATTTGCTCTGTCGCGGTGGTAGCGGTGGCGAAGAGCGGCGTGCCGTCGAGCGGACTTCGATGAAGCCTTAGCCCGAAGGCGAAACAGGGAGGCAATTCGTTTGGAAAACAGCAACAAAAGTAGCGTTTACTGTAGCAGGTTGTCGTTTTTACAGAGCCGGCCAGCACGACAACGTCGGCTGGGGCAAAATCTCCTAACATGGGGCCGGCTCGGCCTTAAATAGCGTCTTTGGTCCATTCTCTCAGACCAGTTCTCGGGCTCGGAGGGGGAGACGTAGCCATACCCAGAACTGCAAAGTGGTTCGGCGGAGGAAACGACGTTATCTCCGGACTGCACAGTTCTCCTGCACAGAAGGCGGCGCTGGGAGGGGGGGGGGAGACAGTTCGTCGAAACAGGGCTCGATCTTGTGAGACGTGCTCCCGAACGAGGAACATGTCTGTGGCACAACACTACTGCTGCACGGTGCGAACCGTGGTTCATAATCAAGGTTACTACGATATAAAAGCTACTCAAAACAATAACAGGAGACCTACATTATCACACTCTCACGCGAACGGCTGTATACAACGCAAGTGATTCGCTTACACAACACAACAGCCCACGTCCAGTGTTCTCGCCGTTCTGCTTCGCGAAAGCTGCGGAAAACAGTAAAATGAAGTCCTTAACGTTCGTACCAATTCACAACGCAACTGTAGCGTCGGCTGTGGTCTTTTTCGTAAAGCGCGGAACTGTTGCGTCTGGTCTTGTTTTCACCGTCGTTCTGGCGAGTGAACCAGCAAGCATTTCACGGCGGTGAGGTGACGCACCTGAATAGCGGAGAAAAACTCGTAGCTCTTTTTTTTAAGAGTGCAATTCTCAAATACACCTAATGTTTATCTCAATCGCTGTTTTTTACGCTGTAGTTGCACCTGGTTGCGCAGCAAACTGTGCAAAGAGGTGGGCTTCGCACTACTCAAAACTGCGTCGACAGCTGGCACTGCGTGTCCGCGAAACTCCAGAGTCGGACGCAGACAGGGCACCCGGTTAGGTTTCGGTATTGCCCCTTTTTTCTTATTAAACGTTATTTTCAAATTTCCTGAGTATTTCAGCTTTTGGGCTCGTGACAAGAGTGTCTCAGGAACATCGAAACACCATTACCTTGACATGGTCAAAAAATCACCAGAGGTGGCTTTTTCTTGCCTGTGAGTGTAAGACCTGTACAGCAACGGTAAGATAAGTCAGCGTGTAGCTTAGCGCGATTAGATGCCACGAGCACGTCATCAGGAGCGGAAAACACGAGCAACGTACATCAGTAACTTGGCTGCCAATGTAGTGAACAGCGACTATAAAGTGGGGCGGGCTCGCCGCCACATCGGCAATTGATTACTAAGCCCTATCACTAACATTACCCACATAGCTAGAAAAAAAAAAAAACGTCAAGTCGCTGATCTGTGGTACATTATGCAAAACATACCTATGCAACGACGACAATGACGAACTTCCCCTGTGGCTGCTTCACAGAACTGCTAGTGACGTAATTAGGAGTCTCCGAGGATTTGTGGCTCTCTTATTGCTCTCGCGTCACAGTCTGTCCCGTGAACCACAGAGCCCGTGATATGCGCACCAAGGTTCTATATAAACATTGATGCGCACGTTGTACACTATAGTAAGAGCCAACATCGTTCGTGACGTAGTCGTCGTACAGCGTCAAGGAGCCTCGCCCCCTCATTTTGCGGCTTAGGTGGTGTACCTGCTCTACACGGGGTCAGACAGAGACATTGCGTAGTCACTGAGCTGCATTTTTCCCAGCAGTAACGCGGTGGAGCGAAAGCATCACTTGCATTCGCTACATTATCGACACGCGGCAAACGAGGTGTTGCTGCCTGAGCACTTCTACAAGTCCACTCAGTAGTAAGAAAAGTTACAACGTTGCACTTACGTAAATGAAGCACACGAGAACGCGGAAGGCCGGGAATACCACACAATACCCATCACGTATACTATAGCCTCCTATATATATATTTTTTTGTCTGTCGGATGAGCGCGAAACACTCGTCATCTATGGTGGCGCAACCTACGTAGAATTAAGGGTCTTTGTACTCAGCCTTTGATATCAGCAGTTTTGGCGTTTGCTAATTTCAGAGGCTATGCCTTGTATTGAAGGGGTTACCTGCTAAACGAGTGCGAAACGCCTGTCACCAATGGCGGCGTCACTTACGTAGGGTTAATTATAATTACGCTTACGCCTTTTAAAAACTTTTTACAGTATTTTTGTTGCATATAGGCTCCAAAAACGAAGACTTATTTTAAGACGACCCTACTTAAGTGGCGCCACTACCGCAGTTCCAACGACGGCCGCTTCTCAAGTGACCGCTGATAATCCAGCAGGCAAGAAAATCTAGGAGGCTGTGCGTAACAGCGGGGCCGTTGTGTGCAAGGCTCTGTGCGCAAAAAGATAGCCTTTGAGATTTGTAATTGAGACTGTCAACAAAACTGCAATGTTAATTACCTTGCTAAACCTGCAGCGTACAACACCATATCTATACTGAACTACTCAAACAAAACAATAAGTAACTAATAGCAAAAAGTAGAGGCGTTCTGCTAAGGCCACACAAAATATTGTAGGTTCTTTAGATACGAATCACTCGAAACCATGTATCGCCGGCCATGTCGTGACATCAAATGGCGGTCGTGTTGTTGTTTTCAACGAGAATTCAACGTCGCACTTTGTCCTGACGCACAGTCGCGAGTTTCGCGATCGCCAAAAATCCGTAAAAGCAAATTTTCTCGGCTTGGAGGTAATTGGGCCGAGCTTGGGTCCAGCTTGAAGGCCCCCAGCGCCTATGGCGTTACCGCGGTTGCGACTGCATCCTACTCGCCAGGTAGTAATGCGCCCGGCGCGCACTACGAGAGCTTTGCTCGCTCGTTCGTCGCGTCCGAGCTCTTAGTAGCGCGGTTACACATCTCCCTTCTGCTTCTAAAACTCTCGAAGGAAATCTGAAAGCGTCGTCGGGGCGACAACATCGTACAACGAGGCTCAGTTTCCGCAAACTTGTTCAAATTGCTTGTGCAGGGCGACTAATAACTCTTCCCGGGTGACCGCTGTAGCCGTTTCGTCGTCAAATCTCTCCTCTAGTTGGGAAGCGAGAAAAAGAAGAAAACATGGCTAGCGGCGGCATCTCAAGATCGGGTCGTGTTCGCAAGAAGTCGGCCAAGTTAATGGAAATGGAAGATTGGGACGCTTTCGACCTCAACGACGCACCTTCGAAAGCCAAGAAGAGACCGCGGTCGCCAGACCCGCTGTCCGAGCCGCCGGAGAAGAAAGTGGCGCCCATCAAGATCGCCAAGGCTGCGGCTTCCAAGGCGTCGGCGGTGAGCCCCGTCAAGGCGAGGGCCGTGGATGGGGTGATACACTTGAAGAACCTGCAGAACATCCAGGAGTCCGGCTACCTGAACGTTCCGACGGCCTCCAAGGCAGTTCCTGTGGCGCAGCACCAGCCCTTGTATGGTTCCGGCAATGTCGCTGACGGTACGTTGTCGTGACGGTACGGCGGCGTCAGAGTTTGTCTTAAAGTGCGTAACACGAAATGCCGGCTTGTTCTCCAACTACTGCCTCATGTCGCAATGTAAGCTAAATTGCGTCTGAAACATCTGCCAGATACCCGCTTCGCGTGAGAGAGGGCGCCACCGGCTCTGCAATCGCGCGATTGTCCTAGAAAATCGCTGGGTTTCCTGTGCTATGCCCTTCCTAAGGTTTGCACGGTGGTGGGTGGAGCAGCATTATGTGCATGATTTAGAACTACACCAAAACCTACTCGAGAATGACATTAGCGCTGGATTTTAAGAGGGATTTAGAACAACACCGGGCCTGCACAAGAATGATATTAGCAAAATACTTTTTGCTTGTTAAATCTCACAGAAGAATCAAATGAAACTCCTCATCTGCCGAGATTATGAGGTGAATACAAAGCATTTGCGGTTCACTTTCAGTAAGCATCAAGAGCTCACACAGTTCTTGCATGCTTTCTGGAGAGAGAGAGGGAGGAAGGGGGGAAGTATTTATCAAATCTATCGAGTGAAGCTGAATAATTAACTGAGACGAAACATACACAGAAATAAAAGATCATGGGGCAATGCAGAAGTCATTAGCTGAAATGTTGCAGGGAAACATGTGGCTATAGGCACTGAATAGGTGAATGCATCAAAATACTCGCAACACTCAGTTTAGGTGTTTGCTTTCACAATAGCTTTTCCACTAGCCCCGCATAACCAGTTGCTGTTCTCAGCTGAGTTTTTCATCTCTTGGAACACAATTTGTTGGTTTGGCTGTGCACCACCTTTCTCGTCCTTGTTGCTTCTCAAGTATTGGGAGACTTGATGGGGTTGGTCACCTAGCATAATGTGCAGGTTATTGCGGTTTTATGACTAAGTGATACATTGAAGGAAGAAAAAATTGATACAATTTGCATTTAAGCATCTCTTGACACCTTAACGTAATGTAGCCCAGCCGCGGTGGCCTAGTGGCTAAGGTACTCGGCTGCAGACCCGCAGGTTGCGGGATCGAATCCCGGCTGTGGCGGCTGCATTTTCGATGGAGGCGGAAATGCTGTAGGCCTGTGTGCTCAGCTTTGGGTGCATGTTAAAGAACCCAGGTGGTCGAAATTTCCGGATCCCTCCACTACGGCATCTCTTGTGATGATATGGTGGTTTTGAGACATTAAACCACACATATCAATCAACGTAATGTAGCCAATGCAAAAGCTCATAGTTACGCATTTATGAAATTTGCTTTGCAGGAAAGTTTCCAGTTCACTTTCCCAATATCGGTCACATGTAGTCAGCATCACCTGATTCAGCAGCAGTTTTGTTTTCCACTAACCACTGGAGATGATGCTGCTTCCAGTGTAGTTACATTGGCAAGTGCATTGTCAGGAAGTTTAGATTTTGCCCTAATATAACAGGTTTGCTCTTGTTCAGTTTTGTTGCCCCGCCGCGGTGGTCTAGTGGCTAAGGTACTCGGCTGCTGACCCGCAGGTCGCGGGTTCAAATCCCGGCTGCGGCGGCTGCATTTCCGATGGAGGCGGAAATGTTGTAGGCCCGTGTGCTCAGATTTGGGTGCACGTTAAAGAACCCCAGGTGGTCGAAATTTCTGGAGCCCTCCACTACGGCGTCTCTCATAATCAAATGGTGGTTTTGGGATGTTAAACCTCACATATCAATCATTGTTCAGTTTTGTTGTACTTTTTCTTCATTATCTCTGAAGTGTTCAGTGTTGGTCTTTCTCATTTGTGAGGCCTTCTTATGTAATGTATTTTTTAGCTCTTTACTGTAGAAAAATGAGAACAGAATTTAAGGATATTTAGATATCTTGTAACTCTGTAACATGCGCTCGTTAAAGACGTTTCAGTAAGGAAAGAACTTCCAAAGAGATCTGGCCACTAGCACACTAAGAGAAAATGCTCATTTCTAGAGGGGATATTTTCTGGGAGCTGACTAGTACTTCCTGTCCAAAAGTAACCCTTAAATCACTTGTCCTCGTGGGACAGTGGAGGAGCATGTCTTTGACCTGCATGATTATGACCCAGCCACTACCTTTTCTTTCCTTTGCTGCCAGATTCATCGAGTTCGTCATCGGAGTCCAGCGAGACCAGCTCGGACGAGGAGTCGGATTCAGACGATTCCATGGAGTACGCTCGGCCGCTGCCACACATGCAGATGCAGCAGAAGGGCAAGAAGCCGACTTTCCAGATGCTTCCGCAGGCTAAGACGGTGGCAGCTGGTAATGCTGATTTCGAAACCAGTCAGCAAGCGAGACAAGTGAGTGCGTGCTTGCTCTCTGTTGTTCCTTGCGTGTTTTGAAGACGCCCGTTTCAAATGAATTGAATTTATTTGCAACTGGGTTGCGGGAGGATGATCAGGCAACGAAAGCCACCATGAGCACCTATGCTCAGGCCAGCTTCATAGCGGGCAAGTAAAACAGGTAGACACATTTCAATCTTGTAGGCACAAGCAGTTTCAGTTCAAACAGAAATATTACAGAGAGACACATTTTGTACCAGCATAACAAAATGTACAAGTGTATATTCTGAATTTGCTGGCTACGTTTGCAGTGTAGCCTCAATGCAGTCTATCTTGAGGTCTAACATTGTAAAATTATAAAACAGCATATTTTTCCCATAAAAGACAAAGGAAAATGAGACACGAACGGCGCTGAATTTTCAACTGGTTTAATGAAAAAAACTACACTCACTTCTTTCCTCAAGGCGAGGGTGCATGCTCGTTGTCAATGATGAAAACTTCTTATCTATTACTCCATAAGAATGACCTGTTTTCTGGTGCGGACACATCTGTGCAAGAAGTCTTCCTAGCACCCACTTCGTTGAATGCTGTGTATGGAATGGAATGTAGAGCTGCCACAGAAAGGATTGGGTGAAGATACTTTAAAGGGCCACTCATCAGGTTTGACAATTTTGAGCTGACAAGGGCAATGCGTAGACGAGGCATTCATGATCACGTCTGCCTAATTTGCAACGCTACGCGTTGCGGAAATGGGTCAAATTTCAAGATGAACGCTGCTCCCCCTCCCTTCTGCCAGCGCGCGCCCAGAGAATGAGGGCATGACGTGCGCGCATGAATGGCCTTACGTACACGGCAATGCAGCGACGTTGGTACTCTATGTAGACGACTCTGCTCTGACGTTGCAAACAGTGGCACGTGACATCGCCAAAATTATTTAACACAGCATGTGTAGTTTATGTAATTTGTTGCTTGAAAAGATTAATAGAGCTCTAGGTAAATAGTGAGATGCAATAAGGGAATGTGAGTGTCTTTTTTTCATTTTTCTCTTGTGCATTGCAACAAGATGCGAGGCTAATGTATCGGCGTTTCGCATGGGTCGTGTCCCCGTTGTCAGCGCATCGAGCAGACGACCGCCGTGGAACGCTCCTACGCGTTCGCACACTCATTGTGGTCATCTATTCTACCGTGTCTAAGCCAGTGTTTCCAAACCATCCCGCAGAAACAGGCAAAAGACCACAAAATAACGCTGGTCAACAAAGCAACGCCGCTCGCGTGCTCTTGGGTTGGACTTGTTTGGGCACGTCATGCGCACGTGACCTCTTGGTCGGATGCCGGAGAGGGTGGGGAAGAGATTTCGCTTGCAAAGCTATGCGGAAGAACAGCAGGGTTTCGAGCTCGCCTCCTTTCATCCTAGTGCCGTGCCACTTCAAAAAACCTGTTTTCTTCGCTCGTGATAAACCGAATCAAAAAACTTTTGTGGCAAAATGTTCTTCATTGGACACCCAACAGCTTCCACTGTCTAACTAAAATTTGGTATGGGGCTTGGTGAGTGGCCATTTAATTGTTCGCTGTGTCAGTTTACTCAAGCTCGACCATGCTCACTTGCACTTGCTTTCTGTTGATGCAGCGAGCCATGCACCACATGGAGCCCAGAGCCGACATGATTAACGTCGAGGAAAGTGACGATGATGATGACGACGACGATGATGACGATGACGACGACGACGATGATGACACGCGCGACTCGCACTTGGTGATTGCAGAAGATGAGCGACGTCCACCACCGAAACGTGGTGGGGCGGCACCCGCAAGGAGCAAGCCAAGCGCTGCGCCCAAATCTAAGGCCAGCCGCCCCAGCAAGAAGACGACCAACGACGATCCAGAGTATGAGGAACCCGCTCCTAAAAAGAGCACCAAGAAAGCTGCCACGCCTAAGGCACCAGCCGCATCCAAGAAGGCACCTCCCAAAGAGGTGGGCACATGTTTTTGCTTATCACACTTGCAGGAAGACACTGTGAGCAGGGTGTCTGGACGAATTGTTTTTGTTTCAGTTTTTTTTCCATCGAAAAAAATTCTGTTTCATTTGTGTGTTCTGGAACGAAAAAAAAAAAGTTCTATTGTGAATTGTGATGGTTTTTACTCATACAAAAACCTCGAGGTTCCAGGAGCTTTTGCACTCGCCCACTCAACTCGCTTGGATGGTGATCCCGAGGTGTGATCGATCTAGGGAACATCCATTATTTGCGCTCAAGCTTCAATACGTACATCTCGGTTCGTTACAGAAATGTGCGAGCTGCACAATAAATCTGCACAATAAGCCTCGAATCGGTTTGTTGGTGCAAGGAAGGTGAGTTAGGTCACATGTTGGTGAATAACATTTTATATACCTTTGCTTTTAAATTTATTGAAATATAACAACAAGAAATGCTCGACGTGAGAGGGAGGGTGGGTTGCTTCGGGCTAATATGCTTGAGAACCCCTGCCCTGAGCAGTTACCCTTGAGCATGTTCATGAGCATTACGAAGGCTCGCGTTGCACTACCTCAGAATTTGTTGCACATTGGCAAAATTTCCCATGAACAGATAAAAACATATTTTCGTTTCGCTCGAGAACAGGCTATGCATAGCTGTGTAGTTATGTTTTCTGTTACGATCAAAAAAATTTTTGTTTTTGGGTGTCGTTCCATTCCTGGGCGCGGCCAAGAAATATACGGCTCTGGTCTGAATGTGACAATCTTTTCCAAGTTCTGTGTTTATTAAGCACAGAATTCAGTGGCGTCATACCAGGTGACACCCGGCACCGGGGAGCGTAAAGAAGGTGAAGCCCCAAAGAAGGACCGGCCACATGTGTACTTGTAGGCAGCATTTTCCAATAACTGACGCTTTCTCGACCATGGTCTTGTCTGTGATGAGCCGTTTCTGGTATGACGATCTGATCCTTTGTCTAGGTCACTTGTCACTTCACATTGTACATTACATTGTTGCTTGGATATGAACGCTAGACTGTCCTTGTTGCTTGCAGCAACTGAAGCGTTACGCTACTAAGCACGTGGATGGAAGTCCAATCCAATTCGCAGCATGGAGGAAGGCAACAGTGTAAAGGCAGCGTTGCACAACACAACTTTTTCCAATAGGGCAAAGGCTCCTGAAGTTTTCTCTTTTCTCAAGTTACCAACCTGAGAAAGCATTCGAAATTGTGTTCAGTATCAGGCACTTCTAACACGATTTTTTTAAAATGGTAAAATACACGCACACACATCTGTGCATGCTGCTACAATTAACTTGTTTACTGCGCCTTGGGTCACGGTCTGTGCTTCTGCGACGTTACGAGCATGTGTCTGCTTGCTGATGTAATAACTTCATCAAACATGTACGAAGACATACAATTCTCGTTGTAAGATGTTATGAATAATCAGAAAATGTTTTTTCCGGTGCCATGACCCTCCGGTGGGTCACGGTGTACCCGGAAGATATGCTGAGTGACCCCCCTATGGGTCACTCTGCACATAAATTAAGACCTTGAAAAAGCCTGCCGCAGCAAACATGTTATAATCTTGCTTGTTGTTAGCGGTTTTCTACTTGCATACCAGCAAGTATGGTTGTGTGAGCATGTTGGTTATCAAAGAAACACCTAGTCACCTGTGGACACCATTGCCATTGCAGTTCTCAAGATGAAGAACCGAAAACAGCTTGCAATCAGAACGTCACTGTAAACGTGCTGCAAACATTTTCTTCTTTAGCCCTGCACCCATGTGTGGCCGCCTGTTTCATGAATTTCATTTTTTTTCGGAGCTCTTCCTTATTCCTATTTTTTTTTTTTGCAGAAAGCCAAGCCAAGGCCCATGACAGCATACATGTTGTGGTGTCAAGAATACCGCCGCAAGATAGTCAGAGACAACCCGGACCTTGGTGGGCACACCGTTTTTACTGCACCCGCATGTTAGGCATACAGTGCAACTAACTTCTTGCACCAATCTATTGCATTCATTTAGTGGGTGTGGAACGTGTGCGGCACACATAATGGAGCATTGCATTGTTTCATTGAAATAGTTGGCTGTACTGAAATGCATGGGTACCGAAAAGTTGTGTGTAGTTATTTAAAATAACTCAAAATTAGGTATAACAAGTACAGAAAAATATACTCATTAGTAATAGAGAAGTACTGTACATTGTTGATTATAAGTCAAAGTTTTTTTCATGAAATGGCCTCCCAAAGTTCGGGGGTCGACCTATAATTGGAGTCGACCTATACGCGGAATCGTCAAGTAGACTTTTATGAGGGGTCCGACGAACGATCGTCGTCCTCGGATTCACTGCTATTTGGTGCATTGATAATATTAGCCGCAGGATCTGCTATATCCCAATGCGCGCGCCGCTTCTGGAGCTGGAGATTTTTACGATCTGCCGCGACGATCGTGTAACTATGGATTAGCTATGGTGGCTAAAGGAGGAGGCGTCAGCAACGGCGCATCGGAGATACGACATTTTATGACGACTCGCCGCTGACGGCATCATAGTTTCAATAGTAGCATCACCGCAGGGCTTGCAAGCTGGGGGGGGGGGTCGACTTATATTCGGCAATATACAGTAAATAAAATACAGTCTAACCTTTATATATCGAACCCACATATCATGAAATTATTGTGTATGTCATAGAAATTTAAAGCTTCTCTACATATATTTTTGATAAGTGAAAGATTTTCAAAACTGCATTGCAACATCCTTTGTAATCCCCTTCAGATTCATTATACATTCTAATGGTACTTTTGTGTCAAGTATGATTTTCGTATGAAGCCGTTTAACTGTATAAAATGTATTTTATTTAGGCTGTGTGAATAGTCGAATGCTTCGAACGAATAGTTGAGTATTCGAATTTGCTTCGATTCGAACTTACATTATCGAATATTTTCGAGGTATTCGCAATGAACGAATAAATGTATATTAATTTTCATGTCATCGCCCATAAAGGTGGTTTCACTGCAATGTAGGGGTGCTAAGCAGTGAAAGCATCTTTCCAAGAATTATTCGCATTGCCGTGAAGCCTCCTTTCAAATTTAAAGGGGCCCTGCAACACTTACTGAACATGGTCAGAAAACGCTGCCGATCGGTAGTCGAGACTGTCGAAAACACGCGACTAAATATTGTAGCGCAGCACGTGGCCTCTAATTCACAATAAATTTTCAAAGCTAAAAATTGCCTTCTTTCCTTGGCAAATGACACTACAAGCTCAAAAGTCACTGGGCGCGGCCTAGAAAAAATATACGGCTCTGGTCACAGGCATTGGCTGATTTGGGCATAGTGCGCTCGTCGTTACCGGGGCCGCCGCTTATCCACGAGTATATGCGCGATCTCACTGAAAAGCCGTGTATTCAAAGGAAAAAAAAAATAAGAGGTGCTCAAGGTCATAAGGTGCATGTGGAGTATTTTCTTTTGCCGTGCCATTCCTCGCTGCTTAGCTTCCAGCAATTTCGTCAAGATGAGAAGAGGGGATGCAATTGCAGCGTGCGACAAATTTTCGGAACTCCGCTCGTACTGGTCTGATTCTAGAAACTTGCGGCAGTAAATTTGTGAGGCAACAAGCATGTTTACTGGCTCCGTGGCTACTTCAAAAAGTGTTGCATGGCCCCTTTGAAGGAACATGTTACCCTCAAATCAATTCCTGAGCTTATTAAGCTTGTTATCACGGCTTATATAATCCCAGTATAATAAATTTTAAAACAATAAGTAACTTACAGGTTATCACTCGCATCCTGCCGAAACTACTACTCAAGGTTGTTTCAATTTCTTTTGAATGAAAAAAAAAAATAAATGGCATTTGCATAGAGCCCCTATTTCAATTCAAAAGAAATATTGTGCAGGTTAGTTGGGTCATGATAAATATCGCTCTTTTTTTTTACATGTCATACATACCATTCGAATTCGATTCGAAATTATTCGATCAAAATCGCTATTCGCTTCGAATTCGTATCGAAACAAAAATTCTCTATTCGCACAAGCCTAATTTTATTCTTTGAGGTATTAGTACTCTAAACAAAAGACAGACTTCCACCTGGTAAAATAAGCCGATGCTGCATGAAACAGACATAATTTTCTTGTTCAACTGAAATGTGTTCAAAAGGCATAAATCTGAACTTGCACTCTGTAAAAACTGTACACAGTGTATCACTGCTTACAAAATGCGCCCTTGGGTATGTTTCAGACTTTGTCTCCATAAGCAAGAAGCTTGGTGAAGCTTGGAAGATGCTGCCAGAGAAAGAGAAAATCGTAAGCTATCGTTTCCACTTCGGATATGGGGTGGGTTTGTCTCTGCAGTGGAATAATCGAAAGCTACCATCTTATTTTTCTTTCCATTTGATGTACGCCCAAACGTCGACGTTACCAACACGGATATAATGGAATGCGGCTTATAATGAAGTAAATTAGAAGTCTTGCAATAGATATAGTGTCAGGTGTATACATTTATAACGAACTTTTGGATATCACAAACTCATTTTGCTGCAATGTGCATTTTTGTTTTAATAATGTCTGAATGTATTGATTACCTCTTTGCTCCTTCGACAGCTTTCTGTGTTTAAAGTAGTGGCGACACGAAATTCGTACACCTCTGGTTTTCGATGTTGATTAATCAGTGTCTACTTATTGATTAATTAGTGGCAAAAAAACATGTATGCTCCAGCATGAGACCAGTATTTATTCATATGCATGTATGTTACGTCCGAAGACATTTGAAATTTTGAAAAGCACAGGGGGGGGGGGGGGTCTCGTGGCGTGATTGGCTTACGCATAAACAGATACTATCAGATGATCACGAATACCAGTGACGTCACTGGTCACCTTCTGCCAGGTCGTCAACATTGCTGTTTTGTCTGCAGTGTTGAGCGCTGCAAGTGCTTGTTTCCTGAATTGTCAAGCTACATCACTTATCTTGTGCAACGACTGGCGATGAAACCGGAAAGAGTGTCAAAAACAGACAGAAAAGGCTCAGTTCCCTTCTCAAATCTCGCTTGTGGCTGCGATTGCATTCTTGTTGTGTCAGCAACTATGATGGCAATTGTCATCAGGCTTGGAGCCACTGCACCATCCAGTCTGTTGAAAAATTTTTGCCCCGATCATTTCTAAAGTAGCGGGTTGAGAAGTCACAAAGGAAGCAGTGATTACAACATTGGCGCTCTGTAATAATGTGTCTGTTTAATATGTAAGTGGTGCGATGTATGCCTTACTGACCCTTATTTAGATCAGGCAACACTGTATTCTGAAAGCATATCGATTCCAGGTATGCATGTTGGAGCGCTGAAGCAGCTCGTCCACTACGCTGTATGATCCCGGTAGTAGAGAGCTTTAGTTTCTCTGTAGAGCTCTTGACATCTATGGATACCTGGTTATCGAAGCCCTTGACGGCAACAGCACCCCTTAACAGCCGGAGCATCTTGTGGTATCTTGCCCAAAGTATAGCATAATATTTATTTTTCTGCTTTCTCAGTCTCGTATTGTCAAAACGAGAACTATGTGAATACTATAAGTTGATAGCTTCGTATCTCACTGCGAATGCTTTACACAGACTCGGTAAGCACGCAAGTCGCCGTAATGTAGTTTGGGGGTCTGTGCTTATGCTGTGCATCGTCATATGTCACTGCGAGCGTTGTACATCTCGTACAAGTCTCTGGTATCCTAGCCAGAACGTGTGAGGTTCGCTGTTAGCACAATGTACCTGCATGATGACCTCATCACTGTTTGCTTCAATTTCCGATTCAGTGTTTTCATGACCTTCAAGATTGAATTTACGCACTTTTTAGGCTGCATTTCTAGATGATTTTAGATTGATGGCTGCTCTACGTTTCCATTATGGACTCCCATTATGGTCGAAATTTTATGTTGCCACTCCTTTAAAGGGGCCCTGCAACACATTTTGCGCGTGGTCAAAAAATGCTTCCGATCGGTGGTCGAGGCTCTCGAGAACACGTGAGCCAAGTATTATAGCGCAGCACGTGGCCTGGATTTCGCAATAAGTGATGAAAGTCAGGTCAAAATTGCTTTCTCTTCTCTCAAAAAATGACAGAACAAACTAAAAAATCCCTTGTTACCGCCGTTACATCAGCAATTGACCGATTTGAGCAAGGCACGCTCGGTCGTTACTGGGCCTGCTGCGGGAGGCCACTACATCGCGTGTGATCACACTGAAAAGCCACATATTCGAATAAAAAGTAATAAAAGAAATAAAAGAGAGAAAAGGTGTTCAGGGTCGTTAGGTATGTGTGACGTTTTTCTTTTTGCGTGCCATTCTTCTCTGCGTAGCTTTCAGTGCTTTTTTTGGGACGGGAGAAGACAGAACACTGTGGCGGCGTGCGACAAATTTTTGTAAGTGCACTTGTACTGGATGGATTCTAAACGTTCTTGCGGTTGTTTAGTGGTGAGGCAATAAGCTCCTTTATTGAATCCATTCCCTGGCTACCTGAACAAGTGTTGCTGGGCTCCTTTGAAGTAACTTTGCGCAGCCTCCAGTATCGGAGGCACGGTAAGTTGCCTGCACCTTGATCACTGCCTCCATGATCGGTTCACGAGTGACAGAGATGATGTCATGTGGTTTCATGTTGCACGCATTCATGACATCTCAAATTGTGGCGATCTGTGATGCCCTAAAGAAGTTTGTCTTCCGTCACTTGCATTGGCACTGCCACTGCTAACGATCCAAGTCACATTTGATGTGACATCTAAGGCTTTCACGTTAATGGGGGATGCGGGGCTAAAAATGGTTTTTTTTTTGCATTTTTTTTCAATTTGAGTTGTTCTAAATGATTCCCAAGTTTCGTTGTTATCTGTGTGGCAGAGAAGAATAAAAGGAATCCTTTTCACAAGAGGACGGTGCACATTTGCTGGTAAGAGTATCTTATAAGTGCTGCTTTCTAGAAGTGGCTACAAGGTCGGCAAGAAGCCAAACACAATGTGGATGCCCATGTTAGAATGTTTTTGTTTTTCATGCTTGACAGTAGGCTAGAGGACAAACGAATAAGCTAGAAAGGCACATCTTTAGTCAGGGCGAGCCACTGGCAGACTGGAATTGAAGCTGCAATCGGCAGCAACGTATCGCGTTACTACCCACAGCTGATTTCGTGCCAATGCCGAGTTAGTCCGGTTGTGTTTGTTTGCTACTGAGTTTATCTGTTCTTTCTTCTACGAGTTCATTTGGATCAGAAGGTGAATCATTTTCTGACACGCGTATGTGCGGAACATTCACACCTTGAAAGCTGCGAAAAAATGAAGACGACCAGATGCAGCTGTCACAAAACAGTGTCGTGTTTATGAGGAAGGCCGCACGTATGCAGCAGGTAGCATTAAGTAACACTCAAACCTCATTAATAACCTGTTGCACCTTACACAAAATAGGTTTGTTATATGTGAAAATTCGTTATAAACATATAATTTTATCACTATGTCTATTGCAAGAGTACTCTTCATTCATTTCATTGTAACCAATATTTCGTTATATCTAGGTTCATTATATCAAGGTTTTGATGTATATAGATTGTCAAAATGAGCAGCTTGTGTTGTTTTTCATCTCATTTTTCTCAGTTTGAACATTTGGAAGGACTGAGCCTGTAAGAAAAGCTATCATTTCCAAACTGTGTCACCAATAGCTGCTTGAAAGGTTGTTTCTTGACTAAAATTTTGTCAGGAACAAGATAAGGTAACATAAGAAAAAAATTGATATGTCTGGTATGCTGCGACTAGGGAAAAAAATTATCTTTGCTTTCCATGTGACATTTTAAAAAAATGTCTTAAAAAAAACAAACAAGATGTGTCTCATCGTGCACTACAAATAATCTAGAAAGCTTCCGGTGATAAAAAATTAGGGCACTTTCATTATTTAAAAAAAAATAGTTTTCTTTAGTTGGCATATATGATTTATCATTATGAGAGCGATAGGTTATTTTTTTGTATTCTTGCCAAGGTCCTGAAATTTAGAATACGTTCAATAAGAAGAAAATAAACTATTTGTGAAATTTTCATTAAAACTGCTGCAGCAGTTCAAAAGTTGCATCTTCAAGCCTGGGCAGCTTCTTTAATGAAATGGCCTAGGTTGACCCTGGTGGTGCAATTACACTGAAAGATACACAGAAATCTTTTGATTAATTTCGAGCAGCACTCACGACAGGGCGATGGGTGGAAAAAGCTTACAAACGCTGTCTGTCATCCTACTTACGAGTGCTGCACGAAATTCTTCGCACCAACCGGCTTGATCAGCTTACCCGCATCTGCCCGTAAAACTCGCACTTATCATCATCATTCCAGGGATGGCGCCGCAAGGCCAAGGTTCCAGCCAGCAAAGGTTCAATGCTTATCAGTACGGGACGGCCTTCAAACACAACGGCGTCGACACCAGCCACGGCCAGCACTCCTTCCACAGCCCCTGCAGCCGCCCCCCACGGACGGACCTCGGCCGGAGCCACAAAAGTGGCCGCCGCTGCAGCAGCTGTGACGCCAGCTACGACACTGGTTTCGGCTCAGGAGGATGCCAGGGCTATGGCCTCTACGGGTGAGGGCCCGCGGTCTCTCGGCATCGGCCCAGTTGACGTGGCCGCCCACCTGAAGCTCTTGGGCGAATCGCTGAGCACCATCGGGCAGCGACTGACTGAGCACGAGGTAAGCATTGCTTCCGTCTTACTTCATGCTTCCGAAGCTATTTCTTTTTTTTTTTTTAAAGCCAAGCTACTTAAGGTCGAGGCTTGATCGTTGACGTTGCGCGCCGTAGCCGCCGCTGACGACGATGAAGAAAACAAGCGAATATCAGACCACACGTTTTCTATCTGACATCATGACACAGCACATATAAAGTGTCCACTATACGCCATGATAATGACGATGATCACTGACAACTGCCTTGTGCAGCAGGTGACGGCTTGATGAGCTCTATGATGCATTTCACACGACTGAAAACAACAGACAGCCACTAGGAAAACGTGCCGTGACCTCGTCTTTCCAACTTCAAGCTATATCCGATAGCACAAAGCAGTATTAATGAATGCAAAAGGAAATTCACAACTCAGCACAACGCACCAGTTATGACCGATAAACACTGTAAATAACTCTGCACTGCTTGGCACTCATTTACATGCGAGAGTGGTCAATGTCGCGAGTGATTCATGGTAACAACGAGCAATCCCATTGCTTCGCCCGCTCATCATCATTCACTTCGTGAATGTGCTGTGCTTTTTTTTTCGTTTTTTTTTTTGACAATGGACTCGTGTCATAGTCCTTAAGCTAGCTTTCCTCAGATCTAGCTAGCCCAACTAGTGGTGGCTAGTCACCTACGGCAAACATTGTGTTTAAGAGCAGTTTGATTGTGCCATAAGTTTGTGAAAGAATTGGTCTTTTTTTTTGCCTTTGTGCATTCTAGTGAAGCGGTGGCGGTGTTTGTTGGCGTACATGACTGTTAAAGAAAAAAAAAAGAAAACGACAAGCTATTCGAATGTCTGGGTCAAAGTAGTAAACAACAAGAAAAAATGTGCTGCGAGCAGCAGTTACAAAGTGCCGTAGGATCCCGTCAGCCCTATGTTGGTGCCACGATTGGATAAATTTGCAAAAGAACAAAATGACACGTGCAATCGATTTGTCTGCTTTGATGGAAGTATCTTCAGGAACAACAAGAGGCAAAGAACTGGGCTTGTGCGAATATTCGAATGCTTCAAATATTAGAGTGAATTTTACTGTACTATAATCCACATCTATTTGATATTATTTCGTTGAAAATATCGAAGTATTCAAAATGAACGAAAAAATGTAATTTAGTCCGCTTGTAATCTTTTGTAAAAGGGGTTTCACTGCAGTGAAGGGGTGCTAAACCGTAAAAACACCTGCTTAGAAGAAAATGCGCGCTGCCATGAGGCCCAACTTCGGGGTGAAAGGCTCCCTGAAACACTTTTTTAAGTAACCATAGAATTAATTCACTGGAAAAGTGTACTACCTCGCAAATTGAACGCTGCAAAAATTTTAAGAATCCGTCCAGTATGAGCGGAGTTACAAAGATTTGCCACACGCTGCAACCACATGCTCTCTTCTCTCGTCCCGACGAAAGCTCTGGAAGCTGAGCAGGGAGGGATGGTAGGGGCAAACAGAAAGCGTCACTTGCATCTCGTGACCTTAAGCATTTTTTCTTGTTTTTTTCCCTTTAAATACGCAACTTTTTTAGTGTGATCACGCATGCACGCGTAGACAAGTGACGGCCTCTCGCGGCGGCCTGTGTAACAATCGAGCGCGCCATGTTCAAATCAGCCAATGGCTGATTACTGGGTTTATTTTCCGTGATTTGTCGAGAGAAGAGAAAGCTATTTTCAGCTGGCTTTGATAATTTATTGTGAATTCCAGGCTGCGTGCTGCGCTATATTATTTGGTTTGTGTGTTGTCAGGAGCCTCTACTACTGATCGACAGCATTTTCTGACCACGCTCAAAAAGTGTTGCAGGGCCCCTTTAAATGAACATGTTGCTCTCACATCAATTGATTATTCCTTAAGTCTAAAAGCTTGTTATACATATATGCTCTAAGTATAGTAAATTTTAAGCAGTAACATATTTTACATGTTTTCACTTGCATTCTACAGGAAGTCAAATCCTGCTACTATTCAAAGTTTTTTCCGCTTCCTTTTACCCAGAAAGAATGACATTTGCACAGACCTTGTTTCAATTAAAAAAAACACATTGCGCTTAGTTTTTTCATGAAAAATATGCTAATTTCTCTTTATAATACGTGATTCATACTATTAAAATTGGATTCAAAATTATTCGACCAAAATTACTATTTGCTTCGGATTCCGAACCCAAAATTTACCATTCGCAAAAGCCTACAAAGAACGGCACTCCTACACCGCCAGTGGGGAGCAGCTCATCACAGCTGATGTCCGCTATAAAAGAGAGCTCCTCTCGGCCTGTGCACCCACTCCTCGAATCCTCCCCTGCTCCCCACGTCACTACTTTCCCATTGGTTGACACTCCTCTGCTCCCCACGTCACTGCTTTCCCATTGGTTGACACTCCTCTGCTCTTTACGTCACTGCTTTCCCATTGGTTGACACTCCTCTGCTCTTCACGTCACTGCCTTCCCATTGGGCTGATGTTCTGCTGCGCACAAATTTTTCCTACTGTGGCGATGTTGATTTCAGGGACTAGCGGACGCTTTAAAAACTGCTGTTGGGCTCGAGCAACAGTGGCCGCTGTGCTCTTGGGGCAAAATTACTGTCACGTGGAAGAGGTTTTTGAGTATGCCATGATCGCTAACAACGTCATATGGTGCCTGTGGATTTTGTGACTTGTCAGCATTTTCGGGCACCATATCGAAAGAGAGTAGAGCAAGCGACTTCGTCGGTGCAGATTACGACATAGCTGTCTCTGACTGCATCACTGCCGATGCTGAGGTTGCCGGTGCTGTGGAAGTGTACCAACGTGGTCGTGCGAAAATGTCAATGCCATCACTAAGCAACCTTTTACCACACAACAGAGCTTGCGTCAAAGTTCAGCGATAATCACCACTGTTGTGGTTGAAAATGCTGAATTTGTTTGTTCGGAAAGCTTCAATTATTTTGAAGGAAAATCATAAGTGCACCTTGGATTGTGTGCTGGTCTGAGCTATGGGCAGGTTTTTTACAATACAGTTAAACCCCTTTATAAAAGGCACACTCAAGGCAGCAATTCTTGTCTTTTATACAAGACGTCTCTTATGAGCAGGGTACCTCGTGTGCATTTTCCTATTCCCCGTATTTTACTGTATGCATACTGGTGCCTCTTATACCCATTTGTCTATTATATCAGTGTCTCTTCTAAAAGGGTTCAACTGTACTGTGAAATGAGTCAGTAGCATCCTCAGTTTTAAAGACGATAATTTTTCTTGGGGACCTTCGACGCAAAGATTTTGGTCTGTCTGTCTGTATGCTTTGGTCTGTCTGTCTGTACGTCTGTTTGTCCACTCTTTACGGCATTGGGTACGTGGAACGGTTGACCCCATCTTCAGTGCCCACCTATGTTGCTCAAGGTTGAGCTTTCATGCTTGTGCAATTGTTAATTAAAAAGCGATTATAGTGCATGTCTGGGGCACGATAACAACACGTCTATATTCTGCATGTGTGTATTTTACTAGAAAAGGCATACATGAGTAATTCCAAGGACCGTAGCGCTTATCACGCTGCGCTGACCATGCAACGCTTGCACGTAGAAGCGAGTGTTTCCAACGCTTTGCTAAGACGACACGGTGGTGGCACCTACCCGTCGCCTTGCATTCTACACCTAATCACCTCCAAGATGGGCGTGCACACTGGTCTCAAAGCCACGCGCTTTGTTTTCTAAGACAACTGCCAGATGGCGCTTATGTCTCACGTGTGACGTGACTTGATGTGCTCGTTCACCTCCGCTGTACGCTCGAGGCACTCTAACGCAGCGCCTCCAGAATACCATTCACCGATTTTCTTACGCAGAACATCAAATAAATGTCTTGTTCACTCTCTCCACACGTAAGACTGTCGTCTTTCGACGACATTTGCAGAATACATGCAGATACGGGGCCAATGTTTTTTTTTTTTTCTTTTTCTGCCTCTTGCTTCGTTCTATTGATTGAACCCTTCAACAACCAATTTTGCTTTTGCCTACGAGGTTGAATCGATGCACGCCGACTGCAGTCGCTCAACTCAATTTCTAAATTTTTTGTACTCTTCATTGACGAGCATATGCTGTTTCTATTTCAACAAACGACAAATTCGGAAGGATAATAAAGTGAGCAGTACTTCAGCTATTTGTTTCATAGCTTTTGTCCCGCTTTTCACAATACATATATTATTCAGGAATGCATCTGCATTGTATAAACTCCAGTAAATATTGCTTTGTAGTAATGCGAGTGTGCGACCGGGGTGCAATGTTTTGTTTGATATGTTCTTGCAAACTGTTGTGATTTTATCTCTGTATAGTCAGTTTGTGTTTCATGTGCACTTTTACTTTTATGAACGTTCACTTTTGTGCACATCATCTCTTCCATTTGTGCTGCCAGGGCTTGTGTGCAAACTGTCGCTTCAGGCGGGAGGACCCCATCGGATGTTATCGCTTTGTGTCCTTTCTTCTTGAAGCACAACTTTGTACACTCAAATGAAAATCTGTTCAATTCTCACAGGGCCAGATAGCGGTGTCCGGAAGTCTCTCCGTGTTGCTCGACTCGACGCTTTGTGCCCTGGGTCCTCTCCTGTGTCTGACGGCCGTCGGAAAGGAGATGAACGGCTGCTCGAAAGAGACGCTCACCAGAATTCTCAACAATATCGCCTACGTCATGCCTGGCCTCTGAAACTGCTTCCCGTGCCAAACTGATATGGTTACCACCTCACTCCACAAAGTGGCACCTCCCTCTCACGTAACGCGATGTAGACTCTGCGTGAAGTCTGCAAGAGTGCGGACTTGTACGGGTCTCGTATGATCCAACCAAAACGGCCAAATTCTCGCAATAGAGCCGTAAAGCAAAGTGGCTCCTTCCTCTCACGCAATGTGATGAAGACTCTGTGTGAAGTCTCCGAGAACGCGAACTTGTACGCGTCTCGTCTGACCCAACCAAGACCGCCTAATTCTCACAATAGAGTCGTAAAGCAAAGTGGCACCTCCCCCTCACGCAATGTGATGTAGACTCTGTGTGAAGTCTGCAAGAACGCGAAATCGTGCACGTCTCGTCCGACCCAACCAAGACGGCCAAATTCTCACAATAGAGTCGTAAAACGGAAGTCGCCACATTGAGCTTGTGCCGTCATTCCCGGTGCACCAAGTTTCTACACAACATTTGTGACTCCGTAAGACGCGTATCTCAGATTCGGCAGTGCTGGTACTGGGGGGCTCATTCATGTTGTCAAGGGCCAGGTCAGGCCCTTAGAATGCCCGAGAACCAAACTTTGCTTATGATCTACTTGGTGCGACGAGACTTATCGAAACATTCTAGTTTTTCTGTTGCCCCCAAATGCAGAACGAGGCTTACATGTCGATAGCATCTGCATCTGAATGAGTTCCGATTGCAAATTGAAATGTATGCTGAAATGAAAATTGAAAATGAAAGAATTGGAAATGTATGCTGCAGTAGGGTGAGAACACTGGCGGAATGCGCATACACAGCACTTTTATGAACTTCCTTCGTGCTCCGCACATGGGACAGCCCATGCAATGTCTTGTGTGTCGTAACGGGGCATTGCACATTTTATTTTATTGCATGATACTTCAGCTTACGGAAAGTTTGATGTCCAGTTTTTATGTTATTACTGAACTGCTCACCTGGACGTAGTAAAATGGACTCATCATACCCCTTCATGTTGTTTCTTGATGTGCTGATGGCATCCTGTGATGTGAAATAAAGTGGGATAAAAGTGAATAATCAGAGACCATGACTGCCAAATTGTATTCAACTCGCTCCTTTGAAAACCATTTAACTAGAATGTTGACAATGCCCCATGTGCATAGTGCTTGCTATCAAACTCCTCACATTTATTTTTCCTTAGAGGGACACTAAAGTGACACAGTGGTACTTGCCTACCATTGTTTAACAAGCCCAAAAAAAAGCGTTTTGAAATTTTCTTCATAAACTCGAGGATTACTCTGAATTCACAAAATATTGTCATGGAAGTGAGAATACCCGAAATAAAGAAAGAAGGAAAGAGTATTTACAATGTTCACGAGGAGTCCTTAAGCTAAGATGGTGGCACACGAACAACATAGACAACTATAGTATTATTCTTTCTCGTGGGGCGTAGTCTGGGCTACAGCAATAGGAGCATCCGTTTAATCATTCGCAAATTTTTGTAAACTACTCGTTAATACTAGTCTCACTCAAAATTTTCTACGCTGGAATCATCTTTATTCCATATAAACTAGTCATTTTCCAGTTTTTATTTACATCCTGTGTGAGCGATCTAATCCTCATTTTTTAATTCGATTAAATATTTTCTCTATATTAACTACCAGTTTCATGGCAAATTTTCGGTAGGGGGTGGGAGCCAACAGTAACGACACAAGCGAAGAACTCTGGCCAACCTCCCTGCCTTCATGCAAACGGAACCACTTTCTCCCCATTATGTTTGCAACTGCTGTTGCACTGTTTTCTGGCCCATCACGAGGCATCGCAACCGTGTCTCATTTGCAGTGACCTAATACAATATATTCTGCTTACAATGAATGTCGTGAAAAACAAGTGTATTTTTGGAATTTGTTAAAACTTGCATCATGTCATCGATGAGATGTGCGGCAGATAATTCTCTTATCACCATCTCAAACAGCCTGTGACACAACTTATTTTTTATTTATTTATTCATACTGTAAAAAAGTGCGGCGATGGTGTAGTAGGTAGAGCATCTGCCTCGCATGCAAAAGGTCTGTGGTTCAAATCCGGGTGCCGCGCATCTCCCAACCGGATAAAAAAAAAAAATCCGCGTGGTGGAACTGCATTAAGAGGCCTGGGGTGCGGCCTCACCGGTAACCACCGCCGGGAACGCACTCCCTAACCAGAGAAGGATTGGCCACCCTAGTGCAGTATCTGGCCACTACCTCCCACATGCATACGTCAAATAACTCACGGCCCTTGGTCCCCAGCAGCTGCGAAGCAATTGACCACTGCGGCGGTCAGATCTGCAATGCAGCAGAGGGTGCTAAGAATGTCTGGATCCGGACAGGCCGCCATTGGAACCTGAACTTGGCAATGTTTAATGCTAGAACCTTATCTAGTGAGGGAAGTCTAGCTGTACTATTCGGGGAGGTAGAGGGTGTTAAATGGGATATAATAGGGCTCAGTGAGGTTAGGAGGATAGATGAGGCCTATACGGTGCTACAGAATGGGCACGTCCTTTGCTATCGGGGCTTGACAGACAGAAGAGAACTGGGAGTGGGGTTCCTAATGCACAGAAACATCGCTGGCAACATAGAGGAATACTATAACATTAATGAAAGGGTGGTAGGTATCGTAATTAAACTGAATAAAAGATACAAGATGAAGGTGGTTCAGGCTTACGCGCCTACATCCAGCCATGATGACGCTTCAGTTGAAAGCTTCTATGCAGACGTGGAATCGGCAATGAGTAAGGTAAAAACACAGAATACAATACTAATGGGAGACTTAATGCAAAGGTAGGGAAGAAGCAGGCTGGAGACCAGGCAATAGGAGATTATGGCATCGGTACTACAAACGCCAGAGGGGAGCTACTAGTAGAATTCGCAGAACGCAATAATTTACAGATATTGAATACCTTCTACCGAAAACGAGGAAACCGCAAGTGGACATGGAGGAGCCCTAATGGCGAAAATAAAAACGAAATAGACTTTATAATGAGTGCACACCCAGGCATCGTGCAGAATGTGGAAGTGGTTGGCAAGGTACGATGCAGTGACCATAGAATGGTACGGTCTCGAATTCGCCTAGACTTGAGAAAGGAACGACAGAAACTGATACGCAAGAAGCTAATCAATGAGCTAGCACTGAGAGGGAAAGTACAGGAATTCAGAGTCTCGCTTCAGAACAGGTACTCTGCTCTTAGTGAGGAAACCAACCTTAGCATAGATACAATGAATAATATTCTGACGAGTATCACTACCGAGTGTGCAGTGGAAGTTGGAGGAAGGGTAGTTAGACAGGACACTGGCAAGCTTTCCCAGGAAACGAAGAATCTCATTAATGAAGCGTCAAATCATGAAAGTCTCAAGTACAACAGACAAAATGGAACTGGCAGAGCTTTCGAAGTTGATTAATAGGCGTAAGGTATCCGACGTAAGAAGGTATAACATGGAGAGAATTGAACACGCTCTGAAAAACGGAGGAAGCGTCAAAGCAGTGAAGAGAAAACTTGGGATAGGCAAAAATAGGATGTATGCACTAAGGGACAAACGAGGCAAAATAACTACCAATATGGATAGGATAGTTAAAATAGCGGAGGAGTTTTACAGAGATCTCTACAGTAGCCGAGACAACCACGACTCTAATGCTATAAGAACTAGCAGTAACCCAGATGACACACCACCAGTAATGATAGAAGTAGTCAGAAAAGCTTTGGAGAGCATGCAAAGAGGCAAAGCTGCTGTGAGGATCAGGTAACATCAGATCTGCTGAAAGATGGAGGACAGATTGTGTTAGAATTCTAACTAGCCACCCTGTTTATGAGGTGTCTCCTGACGGGAAGAGTACCAGAGTCTTGGAAGAACGCTAACATCATCTTAATACATAAGAAAGGAGATGACAAGGACTTGAAGAATTACAGGCCGATCAGCTTGCTCTCTGTAGTACACAAGCTATTTACAAACGGAACTGCTAACAGAGTAAAGAAAGCATTAGAATTGAATCAACCAAAGGAACAAGCAGGATTTTGAACAGGCTACTCAACAATTGGCCACATTCATACTATCAATCAGGTAATAGAGAAATGCTCAGAATATAACCAACCACTATACATGGCCTTCATAGATTACGAGAAGCAGTTTGATTCAGTAGAAATATCAGCAGTCATGCAGACACTGCGGAATTGGGGGGTAGATGAAGTATATATAAACATTCTGGAAGAAATCTACAGGGGATCAACTGCTACCATAGTGCTTCATAAAGAAAACAACAGAATACTAATCAAGAAGGGTGTAAGGCAGGGGGACACAATCTCCCCAATGCTATTTACCGCATGCTTACAGGAGGTTTTCAGAAGCCTAGAATGGGAACAGTTAGGGATAAGAGTTAATGGAGAGTACCTTAGTAACCTGCGCTTCGCCGATGACATTGCATTGCTGAGTAACTCAGGGAACGAATTGCAACTCATGATTACGTAGTTAGACAAGGAGAGCAGAAGGGTGGGTCTTAAAATTAATCTGCAGAAAACGTAAGTAATGAACAACAACCTCGGAAAAGAGCAGCGCTTCGAGATAGATAATAGTGCACTTCAAGTTGTAAAAGACTATGTCTACTTAGGGCAGGTAATAACCGAAAAGCCAAACCACGAGATTGAAGTAACAGAAGAATAAGAATGGGGTGGAGCACATTCGGCAAGCACTCTCAAATTATGACAGGTAGATTGCCCCTATCTCCCAAGAGGAAGGTATACAACAGCTGTATCTTGCCGGTACTTAGCTACGGAGCAGAAACATGGAGACTGACAAAGAGGGTTCAGCTTAAATTGAGGACGACGCAGTGAGCATATGGAAAGAAAAATGGTAGGCCTAACCTTAAGAGACAAGAGAGCAGAGTGGATTAGGGGACAAACGGGGGATAAGGATATCATAGTTGAAATAAAGAAGAGGAAATGGACATGGGCCGGGCATGTAGCGCGTAGACAGGATAACCGCTGGTCATTAAGGGTAACAAACCGGATTCCCAGAGAAGGGAAGCGGGTTAGGGGGAGACAGAAGGTTAGGTGGGCAGATGAGATTAAGAAGTTTGCGGGTATAAATTGGCAGCAGCAAGCACAGGAGCGGTTAACTGGCGGAACATGGGAGAGGCCTTTGTCCTGCAGTAGACGTAGCCAGGCTGATGATGATGATGATTGTAATTTCTGGGCTAAAAATGTCATACCAAGAACCATGAGGAACTGGTGCAGAGGAAAAAAAGAAGGTTATGTACCTGGCTCTCACTGTTTTGTCAACAGCTGTTTTTCTTGGAAGTTCACAGAAGTCGCAACTTATTCAACAAATTTTATTTAACATATATGTGTGTCTTGTTTATACAATGCTTTTGCCAGGCAGGTGACAAGGACAAGTGAAAACAAAAATTGTTCAATGGCACACAATAAACAACAAAAAAAGCCAGCTTCGCTGTCCCACCGATCAGGCAAGAATATCGCACGCTGCCGCTATAAGACAGTTGCAACAAACAAGAGCTCTTCAAACTTCGTCATTTGTCTCCTTGCATTCAGCGTTTGTGTAGAAGTTGCATTCTGTGATGACACTAATTTCGGATGCAGCACATGGCCATTTATTCTGAAATGAACTGAAAATACTGGCCAACAAAAGCAATGTCTGATGGGAAATGTTTAAATTTTGTGCAGTTCAAGGAACAGCGACTGCTCCCGCGTCAAACCTGTTCCTTCCACAAGTTTTCTGCAGTTCCGTGCCGAGAGAACAAATGCATACACTTTTGATTCGTTTGATTAATTAGCCATAAAATGCATGCAAAGATTGGTATCTGTTCAAGCACGGCATTACTTTAAATTACCAAGACAATATAGTCTGCCTCCTCGCTTGTCCGTAGCATATGCACTTTTAGTGCAACTTGACAAGCATTCACAGTGAGTAGGCAAGCAGCCAACACAATAGCAGTAATGGTAGCACACCAGCTGCTTTGCTCAAGCTATTTATCTCAATGTAACTTCTGTGTGATGCATGATAGCAAGAGGAGCTTACAACTCGCCTGAAGAGATTATTACATAAGGCTTCAATGCAACTTTCCAAGTAGCTTTACAATATTTTCGGCATAGACACGATCACGCTGACATGTAGGACGAAAGGCAGTACTTAAGATGAAAGTGGGTACATGAACACGAGGGAATGGCACATGCACGCCGCTCCTGTAATTGGGGGAAGGGGGGTTATTTGCAGACTATTGTCTAGTCGCTGCACCACTCTCGCATTTCTACAGGTACAGTGTCCACGTGATCGGGAGTCAACACTAGCACGAATTGGCGACTTTCAATTCATGAAACTTATAACCGTCTCGCGTAGGCACAGCACTCAACAATATCAAGCTTGACTTTGCAACTCAGGTGACACCTGTGCATCGTACAGTGAAACTGCCCAACACAAACAGAACACAAAGGAGCATACTAATTAAAATCCAAATAGACTAAATATATTTGTAACGATGATGCTGAATGAAGTTACTTTTGACTATAATGCCTTGGTGTCGAAAGTGTGAGTGTGCTTCTTTTGCTGTGATCACTCATAACTGCTCCGATTAAATTGCTCATTTGACAGTTTCAAAAGTCTGAATTATAAGTTTCAAAACTATGCTTAGTTCTCCATGCATTGCTAATGGAACACAAAGTGCTTTTTTTTTTTTATATAACGAAGGTGAGACAGAAAGTGCACTAAAAACTTCAGAACAGGCTAACTACTACAACATTGTGGTAGTAGTTTCAGCCAGCATGAACATCATTAACAAAACCCCAATCACTAGCTCAAAAGTGCCTACATCACTTTCAGCTGCACGGGATGAAATTATATGCTATCATATTTAGAAAGTCACTGCATCTCTGCAGGGCCCTCGGCAAGAGATGGCCGATGCATTCTCTATCTACATGTATGAACTCTATATGGCTGTGAGTTGCGTGAGGTTAAAAGTGGCAATCCTATCCGTCATGTCACGTCTAACTATTGCACAAACTTTGATGTCCAGTTCGGCGTAACCAACTTTACCATGCGAAGAAGGCAAATTGCCACGCGTAGCGCAATGAAGTTTCATTCAAATCTTCACCCCAGTTGCGAGTGCTAGTGGCTTGCAGAGATTCGAGCGCAATTATTCACAACACCACGAGGTTATAAGACACAAATTGCAAGCATGCAGGCGAAGCTGAATGCTATGAACCACCGGATAAAGAGCAGCACTGTTCATTGTTCAAAGATACTCCAAATTCAAACACATTTGAACGAGTAAGGCAGCTGGCTGACATGGCTGAGTCGACATTGCATAAAGTGCATACGTCCGTCTAGTATTGCACGACGAGCGCCTCTCGCTTGCCACTAGCAGCGGAACCAACGCACTGCACGAAACTTCATTGCACGACACGTGACAGGTTGGTGCTGGAGGAAAAGCGGAGGTGTCCCAGCCTTGAAGATATATAGTCGTAAACTGTGAGCGCCTGCAAGTGCACCTTCTTACGCCTATGTCCTTAAAGCAAATTCGTTCAAATCTGTACAGCTGTATATATTGGCGAAATTTTAAGACAAGCATCAGTAATTGACTACAGCACCAGTAATTGACTACCTGGCATTGCAGCGATGCCTGCCCTGGCAGTAAGCAATGTTTTGCCTGTACATCTAACATGCTTCTGCATATATAACCAGGAGTTCAAAAAAAAAAAAAGGAAGAAGAAGTTTATGCACAATGTAAGGAGTGCAGTTTTCATGAAAAGCTTGCTGCAAGCTGCCCCTTCATAAAACATAGCTCAAACCATGACAAAGCCATACAAAGATTAAATATTTCTTACTTTGTAACACACTGCACTTATTTGCTTAATTCCTATGCAGAAATGAGGGGACAGGGATGGATATCCTTCGTTTTACCGTTTATGGCACTTGTAAGTGGAATTGCAGGTTATATATACACGGTAGTGCATCAATATACGGTTGTATTAACAAAAAATGCAAGTCACATGAGCAGATTTAATTAGTACAAAAGCATGATTTGAGTAGCGATTGCATGTGGTTTGGACTTGCACAGCTTTCTTAGCATGAACAAAGCAGAGCTTGAATAAGTATGTTTCACAATGACACAGCAGCAAAATTGTTTCAAATATGAAACATTTTTCTTTCTCTTTTGCATAAGCAGCAGCGACACTAGATTTTGACATTTCTACAGTTAACACAAAGCCACAGACATTTCCTACAACGGAAGAAAATCTCAGCTCTGCTATGCCAACAACTTTCCAGCAGTCTTAGTCAAACTAAATTGTGTACATGCTCAGAGAAAGTTTATTATGTGACAAAAAAGAAATGCAATGAATACATATTCACAAACACTGCGATGTTTAAATAAAACAAGCATATGAGGATGCAATGACCTTGGTGGAATTAAAAAAAAATTTTTGACGCCATCATGGCGCCAAAGTTGCAGGCAGACAAAGTGGATCTCGTTTCGGGTGAACTTATCAATGGCACTCGACTATCCACGTTGGTGCTGCCAACGCCGAGAGGGGCAGCTGTGTGAGGGTGGCCTACCTAGGCTGGCCTGCGCATAAAAGAACAAGCACGGCGACAGGATGTAAGAGGAGACGACAGACAGCTGTCTCGTCCTGCATCCTGTCTCCTCTTACATCCCATTGTTGTATTGTTCATTCTCCCGTGGAAGAAAACCGAAGCACCCTCCAGCTCTTCGACGACGCGTCAATGCATGGACTTTCTTTTGCCAGCAAAACAAGTAAGTATGTTATCAGGTTTGATGAAACAGGCAGGTTTACCGGTCGGACGTCAAAACGAATCAAGTGGCTGGCCGACAGAGACAAAGAGGGGTGAAATGCAGTTTGAGATAATCACCGCTCAAGCCTCATTTGTACTGTGTTCCAATGGACATTGGGACTAGATATCGTCAAGCAGTCTAGGCCTTTGCAAAGTTAAATGCTTGGGTGTATCTCCGCCTTGGTACCACTGGCCGGCTGTCACTACAAGATCCGTGTAATTTTATAAACACACTTACTATTTAGGTAAAGAACTTTGAGAACTTGGTGTGACACAACTCAAGCATACTACTGCAGTGCAACAAAAAGAAACATAGGAAATGTGCAAAACAATAACCAAGCTGACATGCGAAAATGAACAACCAACGCTTCATCTTCGACTCAAGAAATGTACGTGTACTACACAGTATACATATATAAAAAAAATGGTTCAATGATAAAACAATATCAGACTGAAGGTGTGTGGTTAAAGCTTTCAAGTGATCAAGCATTATTCTTAAGCCAGTCACCTTCTTGGAAGTTGCCCCTTAGTTCCCATTTTGGCCTCACCGTTTCTTTTTGCCTCGCAACACTCGAGCCTTCTCTGCCGCTTTTGAACTCGTCAGTAACTTGCTTTGACTAACACCGCTTCAGTTTTATCAGCTGCTACTCCATCCACACCACAGTCCGCGTTGACGATGACTTTCTGAGCTCGGCAGAGGTCCTATGCAACCACAGAGCGGCTCGCAAACGAGGCCGTCACTGCGCAACCTCCCACAATGGACTGCTTGAATTTCAGCAGTGACTGGGAGAGCTACCTCTCTTTGTGGACTTTGTATGTACAGTAGTATCGCGCACTTCTGAAGGACAAAAAAAAAAATAATCATAAAAGAAAGACTGATAGTGTTGTGACCAGTTGGGTCTCAGCATAGGTGCCCGTTGGACAGCCCCGTCTGTAGCCTCTTGATGTGGTTGTAGATCTTGAGTGCCTGGCCCGAGCTTTAGAGAGAGGCCCGTGAGGACGTCGCTACGCTTCAGCAGGAGCAAAGATCGGCCATCAATTTCCTAGTTGAAAAAAAAAAAAAAAGAACAAGCGCGGCTTAGGATGACACAATTTCTCATATCCATATCCATAAAACGCAGATGCAGTCCTCGTGGATTGAGATACGACATTTTTCTGCACTAGTACAGCAACTGCTGCTGTGAGCGATCACTCGAGAAAAGTGAATCATGTCCCTAAGAAACTGGCTGCTAAAGGTAATGTCGGCTCTGACGTAAGTGTTGGAGAATAACCCCTCAACCATTCTGGACAAGCTCGGCTCACCCTTTCCAAACTGTGTTGTAGCGCTTTTGGATGAGTGTCACTTGTCCGCTTGAGATGATTATATCTCCTCTTGAGCGTTTTGAACAGGACTCTCATTTCCAAGCTAGCTCGTGGGTCACTTCAAAAAGGGCGGCACCTGCTTTGCAATGTTATTTTGACCACCATTTCACATTTTTTTGCTACTTGTTTAAGAAGATGGCGCTTAGTGCGAGTGACGTGTGTGTTGCTTGTACATCATCACAAAAAAGAAGCCTTTCGCCATCTTACGTGATGAGTCTAACCTTTCAAGCATAACGGTTTGATGTGTTACATTCACCAGTTTCTTGATCTTGACATTATTTTATGAATTCTGAAATACACTAATAGGTCAGGAAACAAGAAATTTATTATGACAATTTGACTTATTACCGTATTTACACGATTGTAAGACGACCCTTTTTTTCAAATTTGACAATCCAATGTTGGGGGGTCGTCTTAGAATCGAAATCGAACCATGTACCTTAGAATCGAAATAGAACCATGTATTGTCATCTCGAATAGTTTCCCGCTCAACCCAAAGCGCATAGTTTTCCGCGTGCTTATACAAAAGCTTTTTCTTTTTTTAGCATCTACTGCGCGCATTACGAGTGCCTTTATGACGAGCGCACGGCTCTTGAGGGAGCACCGGTAATCGATGGAAGAGCCGCCGTAGGGGGGTATTGGTAGTTGACGGAAGAGCTCCTCTTTGTGATACAATTTTCTAAGCGGGCGCGTCGCCGCGTGCTCCTGTCGCTTGTGTCCACGACCGGCTCTCTCGAGTCACTTCTGTCTGACATGAGTGCCGTAGGCTCGAAGAACACTCGGCGCTCGTTTACGGCAGCGTTTAAGCGGGCTGCTATTCTTCATGCGGAGGAAACCAACAACTGTGCAGCAGGACGGAAGTTCGGAATCGGTCCTCTCCGCATGGGCGGCCGTCCCACGCGATGCCGTGGTGCGGTCGTTCGCGAAGTGGGACACTTGACGACGACGTGCTGTGGGACTGCAGCAGCAATGACGGCAGCAGCACCAGCGAGGACGACTCCAGCGACGATGAATAATCCTCCGCAACCACGTGAATAAATTTCCCTTGTGTAAAATGCGCGCGTTCTTTTTTTTTTTTTTTTTTTGAGATGCGATTTTGGGGGGGTCGTCTTACATTCGAGTCGTCTTACAATCGTGTAAATACGGTATATGCTTCAACTTCTTATCATCAATTAAAACATGCTTTTTAGAAACAAAATACTCAGTATGAAATCGAAAACAAAAATTGTTTTTGACATGCAGTCATGAAAAAAAAAGGGTTAACGGGTTAAGTCTAATCACCCGTAGTTATCTACTGTGAAGCTAAGCATACTATATCCATATTGAATTTTGACACCATCAAAATGTCCATGGCCACCATACACCCAAATGCGTCTCATAATTGTATGGTGGTTCTATGACGTAAAACCTCACATATATTAATCAGCCATACACCCATCAGCAGAATCTAATAGCCACTGCACAAACAAATGCACAACATGTGCATAGAGAACATACTGAAATGTAAATGCACCAGACACGTACAGTCAAATCTTATATATATATATATAAACGCGAATATAATGATACATCGATTGTAATATTGTAACAACGTAAATGACCAACTAACAACCAGTGCTGGGCAGCTGTTTACGGACACTTGTGTCTCACGAAGTGACCCATTAAAAGCTATTATTTTGACTGCCAATTTCTTAAACATGCGGGACAATTAGACTGTTTTCGCACATATCTAAGCTCCAAGGCACTTACTTGGTCCCTGAAGGCAACTGCCTGTTCTGGAAAGCCGATGTGCACGAAGAATTTCTCGACCTCTTCGACAGACCAGTCCTTTGCATCAGGAACCACATCGGGGTACTTGTCCAGGGCAATGTAGTAGGCCGACCTAAGAACAAATAGACGTTTGGTGAAGTGCTCGGTGGAACGGACAAGCATTTTACAACATAATTGGCTGCACCGCCGAAATAACAACACAGTACAGTTGCACTGATCACTGGCATGACAACATGGCACTGCTGCATCATATTGCTACGTGACAGTGCATGGAGCTGAAGAAGGCAAGGCAGATGGACTGGCGCGAGCTAATCTGTGTGGCTGGCGCTGCTCGCCTAACCGGCTGAAGATACACCGGTGACTACCCCTCTGAGTCAGTCTCCTTCCCGTAACATATTTGGTGGAATTGTGCGATCCCCATCCTCGCCACGGAACTCCGAAGCGGACACTCCCTCGCGGCTTACAACATGACCACTCAAGACTCGGCTACATCCTCTCTGGTCGCTCCCCCTTCTGCCCGACCTGTCAACCCAGCGCCCGCAACAACTTTCGTGACGCTTCCCACGCTCAAAGATCCCGGCGTGTTCTCGGGCAGCGAGAGTTCCGAAGTCGACCAGTGGCTACGCCTCTACGAACGCATCAGCGCCACTTACAGGTGGGATCCCACTCTTATGCTCGCAAATGTCATCTTTTATCTTGACGGAACCCCTCGTGTTTGGTTTGATAACTATGAGCATGACATAACAAGCTGGGACAGCTTAAGGCAAAGATTTGTGAGCTTTTTGGCAACATCTCAGGTCGTCGTAAAGCTGCGAAAAATGAGTTGTCGACTCGCGCACAATCTTCCACGGAGCCCTACATCGGTTATATTCAGGCAGTCCTTTCACTATGCCGCCAAGCTGACGAAAATATGTCTGAACCTGAAAAAGTTGCGCATATCCTCAAGAGTATCGCCGACGATGCGTTCAACTTGTTGGTATTCAACAATGTGTCATCTGTTGATGCGATCATTCAAGAATGCCGCCGGTTCCAACAAGCTAAAAGCAGACGCATCTCCCATCAGTTCCAGCGCCTCCCGAACACCACTGCGACGTCCTCGTGTCTCGACACATATCATCCACCAGACACCTGTGACAACTTGACGCGAATTGTCAGGCGGGAGCTTGAAGCGGCTGCTCCAGCTAAGGCGGGACCAATGTCCCCCGACCCCTCTCCGCCAATCACGTTGCCTCTCATTCAAGCAGTCGTCCGGCAGGAAATCGCCAGCTTGGGAATTCACTCTATCTCACCGCCTCCTCGCACAGACTACCAGCCCCGATACACGCCTGCACGTCCCTTCCCGACCGGCTCTCCCTCAGCGTTCCGCAATTCGTCCGCATGGCGAACACGCGATGACAAGCCGATATGCTTCTCGTGTCACAGAATCGGACACATTTCTCGCCATTGCAGAATTCGCTGGGGTCCTCCTGCACAACCGTCCTCTCGTCCCTTCTATGCATGTCCTGCCTATCGCCATGAGACCAGCCGCGACCATTTTGCCCAGGAACCTGCTTCTGAACACCGCTACTCCCGCTCTCCATCCCCCCAACGTCGCCAGTCTCGTTCTCCACAGCCCCGCCGACCACCTTCCCCCGCCTTCTCACGAGGTTCCCCGACGGAAAACTAAGCGTTGCAGCCCCCGGAGGTGGCGCTGCATCGCTCGGACTGACCGAAAATCCTCTCTTGACGATACCAACAAAACGCAACCTCATAGACGTACAAGTAGACGGCATACATGTCACTGCTCTTGTCGACACGGGCGCCCAACTTTCCGTGATGACGAGTGATTTTCGCCGCAAGCTCAAGAAGGTTCTCACACCTGCGACGACTCAGTTCGTCCGTGTTGCGGATGGTGGAATAGCATCTATCGTTGGAATGTGCTCCGCTCGTGTGAGCATTGCGGATCGACACACAGTTGTTCTCTTCACCGGCCTTGATAAATGCCCCCACGACGTAATCTTAGGCCTCGACTTCCTGTTCGCGCATTCTGCCCTCATAGACTGTTCGACCAGTACGCTCCGTCTACACTTGCCCGCAACAAAACCTCTTACACAACGGCCAAGTCGCCTCTGCACAACGAGACACGCGCGCCTCCCTCCACAGACACTGACCTACATAGAGCCTGTCTCAATACAAACAGTTCCAGACGGTGACTATGTTCTGACCCCTATCACTGATGTCCTCATAAGCCATGGCATTACATTACCGCACACCATTCTGTCTGTCGCAGGAAATTCTACGTGCCTCCCAGTTGTCAACTTTAGCTTGACACCAAGTTTTGCCACAAGGGGTCTCTTTAGCGTCGCTCTGCACCTTAGAAGACAATGCGGTAGATGTTTTCGCGATGGCCGCCTCTTCTGACCCCCACGCTCAACATCAATCTGCCACTTGCTCCCACAGCGCTATTACTTCGATGATCGCTTCCAACTTAACGCCGCAGCAGACTGATGAGCTCCACCGGGTTCTGCTGTCCTACATCGACGTTTTTGACATCAGCGGCCGTCCGTTGGGGAGAGCTACCGGTATGAGCCACCGCATAAACACTGGTAATGAGCATCCTATTCATAGGCGTCCATATCGGGTGTCGGTGGCCGAGCGTCACATCATCCAAAGTGAGGTCGACAAAAATGCTCGCCAAGAGCATCGTTGAGCCATTCTGCAGTCCTTGGGCTTCTCCTGTAGTGCTAGTCCGCAAAAAAGACGGTGCATGGCGTTTCTGCGTGGATTATCGACACCTAAACAAAATTACCAAAAAAGACGTCTACCCTCTGCCACGAGGGTAGACGTCTCCTTCCCGAAGTCAGTCTCCTTCCCATAACAATATTATCATAATGCGAGCGGAATAGCCATGCATACAGTAGTCACAACAGCTGCAAGACACGTGCAGTACGTAAATTAAAACCTGCACACTTCGAAGCCACTGAAGTGCTAAATAGGTCATGATTCATTGTTAGAAGTAATCAATGAGTGACATCAATATTGGTCACCACTCCACACCACCAACACCTACATCTCCAGTCCAAGAACTAGTAAACATAGCATCTGCACCCTACAGGTGCCATGACAGTAACTATAACGACAGGCAACCATAACAGCAAAGCTACAAGAATGCACAGAAGCAGCATTCACAATATTACAGTCCAATGAACAGCACTTGCAATAACACTCATTTCAAACGAGAAAAAGCTTTGTCTTAAAAACTTACAGGTCCATGTTCTCGCCGTCGAAGCCTTTGAGCTCTTCGTCTGGCACAGGGGAGTCGCATGGTGTCGGAAGGCCAACCGAGTTGTCCACTTCTGCACCGCGACAGTAAAACATACGGCTAAAACAACACTGTTTCGATTTGAGAGGACAGTGACACAAGTATCCAAGGGCACAATGTTCGAAGCCAGACTAAACACTTTCAGCGCTTACCAGTTTTGATCTTGACACCGGCAGTCTTCTTTGTGCCATCGCAGCATGTCCTGCAGAGCCACTTGCCTGGACATAGTTATTTGAAAATTTAAAGCGGCTATCAAGTCAAACAGCCTTAGGAAGACAACCAAGATCAAGCAGCAGCGAATAGTTGACGCTGATATGAAAATTCAGGATAAGCAATGAGGCATCGCATGTGTTGCATAATAAGTGTTCCCACGTCTTTGCTGATGACTGCACCGTTTGCTACTTTGAGAACATATTGTTAAGAATTAAGGAGTAAAAATTACTCTCTCATCGTTTATTGACACTCTGTATGTCCTGAAGTTTCATAGTACTGTTCAATGGACGAGAATAAGTTCAATATGAATAGCTGGTGTTTAATGTCTCAAAATCATGATATGATTAATGACAAGAGACACCACGACGTAATGTAGGGCTCCTGTAGTCTGGTTATCTGTAGTCTGGTTCTTTAATCTGCTATGACATTGCGCATTATAATAATTATAATATTGTTTATTTTCAACAAGTTACATCACAAAATGTGACGTGTCAAGGGATTACACATCAAGGTTACATGTCAAGATAACCTATAGAATTTTGCCTTTATCAATATGCCGTGGCTGGGATCAAACCTCCAACCTTTGGGTCAGTAGCCATCCACCGTAACCACTGTGCCACCATGGTGGATGACAGGAATAAGTTTAATAGATGACAATAATTTACATGCACAAAGACAGTATTTAAGGAGAGGAACCTGTAAGGCTGCAACAGCATGCGTGTGTAGTGCGATTGGCTCATGATATGGCAGGAAGGAAATGAAAATGCAGTTTTTACGACAACATGACAACTGGTGCATGTTTCTGTAATTTAGATGTTCTTCTATGGACATGGTGTAGAAAAGTCGTGATGTCATTACATATCTTGCAGGTTTTATGAGATTTCACTTGGTACTGTCAAGTAACAGATGTGGCATACATTTAACTGGCATTTACTAATAGTGTGTGTATATTTATTACCGTGTGTTAGTTTGTATCACGTTTACATTACAATGTGCTTCATATAAAAGATCAGATATGTCACTTTAATTCGATGCAACATTTTGCCACAGGCACATTTGCTGCAAAACAGTGTACTTATTAAGGGTATATTCCCTAAAGACGTGCATCCTCTTATTACCACGCCAAAGAAATGGTACATTCCTGTGACCAACACACACTGCACAACGTTTTCACTTGCGGTTAAAGCTTTTTACGCTGTGCATTGGAAGCACTATGGTAATAGTAGGAAAAAATTTGGGACCTCATGCAGCATTAAGTTCACTAGTTAGAGTTGCAATACCATGTAAGCAGTTATTCCATAGACGTTAAATATTATGTACATGAATTAAATAAAACTGCACTGCAAGCTGTACCGATTGAGATCTTACAACTGCACAACTAAAGTAGCTACCCCAACACCCTCTGTGAAATGGAGCATTGGCACAGCGTCAGGAGAATGTATACATGAAGTGCTTACGTTGTGGCCTCTGCATCAGCTTGGGCCTGTGGCACACCATGTGGTAGCCTCGATCACAGCCGTCACAAATGATGAGTTCGTCCTAGAAGAGCAGGATAATGGGCTTGAATGGCAATGCTGACATGAAAAGTATGACTGCTAGCACTCTGGCCACATTACTCTGGTGATCTGATTGCTTTCAGTACTTTCTCATCAGACCAGCAGTCTGACCGAGCTGAACTGTAGAGCGACAGTGATACCGATTCATGTGCTGTATCCTATGAGTAAGAAAATTTGTATCTCTCAGGACTTCTAAAACATGTCCAGGTTAAAAAGTCTAGAATAAACTAGGCTTAACTAATGTAATTTGTGTGAGCAGACTGCCATTTCTTTTGAAAGGCACAAAACCCCAACAAATCAATGATTACTAAGCAGTTTATTGGTAGTCCTTGTAGTGCGACCCACTTTCAGTGACAGGCTACGTAGGACAAAAGCAGAAATAGTAATTTTCCCGCTTACAGACAACCAGCACTTATAGAAAGAAAGCTTTGCAATTTGATAAGGTCAAGGGCTTCTGATGCACTTGCTCTGCGATCTGAGATAACCAGAATGCAAGGCACATCACAAAGTGGAGGTGACTAAACAGACCACTTAATGCAGAGTGCCAGCAGCAAATTATTTCAGCAGACGTTTGCGAGGATCGTGAAAATGAATTCCTGATGAACGCAAATCAAGCTTTCTGCAATTCTTGTTATAAGAAATGAGCACCAGCACCGTAAATTGGTTCGCAATATTTGATCTTAGTTGTAACAGTAAAGATGAAAAATCAGTTCTAGCAAATCGGTAATCTCCACGCAAAAATAGTACACACAAAAACACATGCACTGCGCAGAACTAAGCTTTCTGCAGTGTCCATACGTGAGAGGGCCGTTTCTACTTCAGCAGTTTCACTCCGGAGTTTTTACAAGCTGCTACCCAGTCTCGCGACCATTTCCGCAACATCTGTGCTGCTTATTTCTGCAAAACTTGCGCCACTTCTGTAACAACATCATGTAGAAATTTTTCTGTTACATTACGAGAAAAATGTGGTTGCGAGCCAATTTTGAATATTTGCTCCGCTTTTACGGCACCGCTGTAGCCCACCAATTGTCTGGTTTGCAAAGTAGACAAGAAACTACTATCATCATCATGCCAGCACTACGTCATGATCTGTTTCAACAAACACGTGTCACATGCGGGTACTTTCTTTTACGGCAGAGCTGATGCGCCCTCCATTTGCCCGGACGCGGGAGAAAGATAGAGAATTAAAGAAACAGAAACAAACAGACACCCAGTACAACATAGCTGTATATAATAGTCAATACTGACATGAGCTTCCAGTATGGCCTGTCTGCTCTAATTGCATACTGTAATTAATGTTTACCAATGCAATACTGTGAACACAATTTGCATCGGGTTGTGAATGAACAGTCAAGTGTGCCTAGTTGGGTGCCGAATCGTTCTAGGACCAGCTGAGTGTCGACCAGCTCTCCCGTGTCCCATATCTTGCTAAACTCGGCACAAGCTGCGCAAATGTTTTCGTCTCACTATAAAGTTCTGACCCTGGCGTGAAACACGCATTTGTTCATTACAGTCAACACTGTGACAGTGCTGACATTTTTGGTTTCGCTATAAAAGTACGGAAGCCACTGACATGATGAACCAAGACCAACCGTAGCTCGTATTTAATTCACTATTACAGATAATTAGCTCTATCAGCGTTTGTTATAACAAGGCTCACCTCTATTTTCATTACAACAGGTGGCTAATTTCCCAGAGGTTACTCACAGTGTCGGCAGAAGAGCTGCACCCCGAGCACGTCTTGCAGTCCACGCATTGCCACGTCGCGAGCCGGGCCGCTGCAGCCAGCTCCGCAGAGTAGCTGAGGCACGCAGGGTGAGCTGCACAACGAAAAGGGCGAAAGCGCAGGCCACGGCGGGTGAGTCGAGCCGAGCCCTTATCGTCGCCGCGCATTTTTATAGCAAACTCAACGACGAACGAGAACGTTTCGCGGTGACAACTCTGCGACTAGAGAAAGGTGTCATCCACCCTCTCGTACCCCCAAAGCCAAGCAACAAAAACTAGGGACAAGCGGGAATGGTTATAAATTTCTTTTACGCATAACACGTAACACCAAGTGCACAAAATGACATCACAGCAAGGCAATTTTCGCCACGAGTACAAGCTGAACGTGTCCCTTACAACTTTGCCTCAGCAACTTCAAAAGCCTAACATGATATATTTTCATTGTGCATTGTCTACGTATGATGAAGCATCTTGCAAGTTTCCATTCAGCTGGGTGAAGCATCAACACCTCGGAAAAAAAAATCAAGAAAAGAAAACTTGCATATTGTTGCTACTGCACAAGTTCACACAAGTGGCAAAGTGTTGTAGATCGTGAAAAATCAAAGGTGCTTGTTGTGAAAAGATAGAAGGGCATGAATGTCAAGGAAATAATAATGCGACAAGGTATGTAAATTGTGCTGTGATAGATTAATACACACATGAACATTTGGTGCATCTCTAAATGCATGCCATCAATCGCCTCCATGTCCTAATGATGTAAAGTGGGAGTCATTATTTTTTTATTAGTTGACCAAATGCAAGCTTTTTACTACTGACGCTCTTAGAGAGAGACTGACATAAGCTTCCATTATGGCCTGTCTGCTCTAATTGCATACTGTAATTAATGTTTACACATTTTAAATTTACACTGAATATCTTTTGCATAACAGTCATTTGAAATTTATATGGAAATATTTTGCCTTAGCATTGTTGAATGCAGTAGTCAATTTTCAGAAGACGGTCTATTAATTAGTCGCAATTATTGGGAGCTAAACTGCCTTATAATGCTACATTTTTCAAATAGTGCCATTTCTCTTTCTAAAACTGTTATGAGAAGTGTGGAAGCTTAGCATATGTAATGACTGAAACCTGCATGTCTGTAGGTGAATTAGTGTTACAATCTGTTGGCACATACACAAACTTGCGCCAACCTAAACATAGCAGTGCTGTCTAAAGGCCACAAAAACACATGTAAGCAGAGTGCACTGTCTGACTTCTGCTGTTTTGGTGAAGCATATTCGTGCTTTCACACTAGTACCATTAAAGACTTTCTTTTTGGCAAATATACCTGCAAAACGTACCTACCACGAAAGCTTAGTGGCTACTGTGTTGCAATGCCATACTCACAACTTAAGGTTTGATCTCTTTTGTAGGAGTTGCAATCATATTTGAAGTGCATTTAACGCATGCATACTTGAATGTATGTGCGTATTACGAAGGTTAAAGGGGTCGGACTAATGGTTTGTTGGCTTATGGTGTTCAAAGCTCGAAAGCTACTCAGGCTATAAGACTTCACTTCACTTCACTTCACTTTTATTTCCTTAAAGACCCCCTGTAGGGGTATTACATAAGGGGTGGTGCATAAAAGACACGTAGTAATGGAAGGCCTTGTATAATTTCAATGACCTGGGTTTCTTTAACATACACTGACATGGTACGTGGCCTACGATATTTCAATTCAATCAAAATGCAACTACCATGACCGGGATCGAAACCAATTTAGCAACTTTCAAGCAACTGTGGTGGCAGGCTGTGAAACCTACTCGGAGTTGCCTTGTACTAGAACTGCCTTGATCATATCATGGCCTTGGCACACAACACCCAGGAATTAAGTTTTTACACTTGTAGAAACTTTGTGCTTATGAAGGTCAACAACGTTTCTCTCCGAGTTTCATAACACCCAACTAGTAGGTATACATCTTTGTTACACATTCCCCACACTAACCCAACAGAACTATCATTAAAGGAAATGAAATGCGAAAGCATTATAGACCACCTGTTCGACATCACGACGACTTAAAACCAACAGCAGTGCCACACAGTCGCGACCCTTAGTGAAAGCCTGTCACTCACCCTTGGTGTTGCAGTCTCGACAGATGAGCAGCAACTTGTAGTCGTTGCTGGTCACTGGCACGGAGAGGTAACAGACGAAGCAATGCGGCTCGTCTTCCTCAAAGAACTCGGTCACGTCCATCGTCGGACTGTCCAGGTTCTCCAGGAAGTCCGGCCCGTGCGTCTTCTTGATCCTCTGCGGATGCATGAGGCCCAACATGAACCGGCATCAGGCTTACTGAGGAGTATATGGCATGGCTGTTGCAACAGCTGCGTATGCTGCCCCTGATTTATGTCCTATTTAGCAACACCTTTCTTCCCTCTTCCTATCATTGAAAACTGGCATTCCAGTTGAACATTCTAACAAGCTAAACTACTTCAAATTGCCATAAAGCACATCAGTCCTTTAAAATGCATTTCTGGCATATTCATTGAAACTTAACTGGCCCCCTACCCTTCCCCAAAAAACACTGCACCACATTGAGTGCTAAGCATTGACAGTCACGCAGGACCTTGCATTAAAGGAAAGGGTCACTTTGGTTTTTACCGCCGTAAAACAGATTCACAAAAAATCACAAACACTGTCTCCTACTTCCTCTACCCTCTGCATATTTTATTTAGAATGTTCTGAGGGCTCTTCCTTATTATTCGAACAGAGATATTTGAGCTTCCATGTGCTGTACACGAATGATAAAAGACATTAGACCAAGTGTGTACCCCTTCTCCTTTACCTTGACATAGGTCATAACTTTGCAGTGAATAATGCACATTTTTTTTTTCAGCTACTTCTTTTAGATGACTGTCAAAGTGAACATGTCAACTCAAAGATTTTCCTGACATTTAACGAACATCACTGATCACAACAAAATGATAGAAAGTGTCCTAAAGGTGACCCAATGACATTCGTAGAGCTCGAGCACAGGATAGAAATATTAAAACACTTTAGTACACGGGACGTGCCGACGAAATGGCTTTATACGATGAAAACTTCAACAAATGCATGAACATCTATTCAAAATCGAATGCGGTAAGCTTATAAGGTATTTAGTAAGCAGGTTTTCCCAGCACACATGAGTGAACACTCAGAGTGGGTTAAAACAGGCAAAACATTCTGCGGTGCCTTTTTTTTTGGCAGTCATGACATACACGTAACACATAGCACTCAAAGCAATGATTTCATTTCGTAAAGAAAATGAAGCCTCTTGACGATTTACATGTGCAATATGCAACACAATTCCTCACAGCAGCTCAAGAGACATGATGGCTCTATGGTAAGAAAGAAATATAGATGAACTATATTGGTTTGTATAGGCTCATGTTACAATGAAGTGCCAAGAAGGTTAGACACAAAGAAGATACTTCGCTACGTGACGTTACATAAAATTTAGATAAATGCATGAAGATGATGCTAAGCGAATAATGAAGACACACATTTCCCTAAGCAGAAGTGGACACAGCTGCTAAAATATACAGAAATGGATTCACGACAGAGAGGCACTTGCTGACCATCACGTTGCCGTACATTGGGAGCGACATCTTGTGGTGATTTTGTATAATCACAATTACAGACAATTTTTTATGTGCGCATTCTATTTCTTGTGTGAAAAAAGGTTTAAAAAGCCAACAGGTCTACAATTACACTACCGCAATCATTTACACCAAGATCTAAGTAACACACACTTCAATTGCAGCTTCGTGTCTGTGCGATTTAAAGTGCTGCAGTGCCACGTGTTGCCTCCACTTCGACCACACAGGTTCACACTGCCGGCAACTTCAAAAGTCACAAATGCTGAAGAGCTTGCCAGTGAACTGAAGTGCTCTATAACGACTCGCAGCAACGGATTATGAATGCGAACAGTTGGTTGTTAACGCATGCAGGCAGTTCCTAAAGCAAGCACTAGTTTTTCACCCAGAAAAAAAAAAAAAAGGACAGGACAAAAAGAGATGCTACAGGGCAAGAGCTGACCATCAACTAAACAAATTTTATTAGAATGCCCCTGATGGCATAGTAGTTCGATTAAAGGAGCACTTTCGAGCTACTTCTCCACACACTGTGCCCATTGTGGACGCGCTCCAGCCGCCTTCGAAAACACCACAACCTCGAACTGCGACACTGATCAAAGAACAAGGGAAGTGGTCGAGGCTCACAAAATCAATAGAGTGGCAGACACGTGTGCAAGTGCACCACGTGTGGCTCACGTGTTTTGTTAAATTAGTGTGCCCGCGTAGTTCTTGTGGTTTTTGGTTTATATTTGTTGCTTCCATAAAGATCCTTCAGCCAACCGTCAGCACTCGCATTGTAGCTTCTCTCGTTTCGTGTCTCGTTCTTTCTTTGTGCTGTAAGTATGAACCGATATCAACCAGCCCGAAGCTCGACACTTCTACGGCTAATTAATCGCGTAAGCGAATACAGGGCCGAGAGTATATAAGGCTGAGGCAGACCACTCGACTGCTAGCAGCTCGCTGCACAGGAGGTGGCTCGCACCACGGCGGCCTCCCGGGAAACACGGAGGGCACTGCGCCCGCCTTCAGGTTGCGGCAGACCACGGGTCCGTCGGCGTAGTCCTCGGCCGTGAAGTGCAGGCAGCACACGACGCTAGTGGCCGAAGCCCCCTTGGGGCAGACGTTTTCCCGGGCCACCGCCTTCAGCCATCTCTGGCGAGTGACGGGGTCGGACGGGAACTCGTGGAAGATCACGCCGGGCTGTTTTTTGTTTTTGGACGATCGGCAAAAAGGAACGCAGCAGTAGATCATCGGCCCTCTGTAAAGAGTGGTTCAGGTAGGCAGGGTGTAGTGGCTTTTCGTGTCCAACACGATCAGCAGTCTTTGTTTTCTGCGCCATGCTTCCGAGCGATACACCCACGACTCGGCGGAGAGAAAATATCCCACCCCAGCAATTAGTGGTGCACTAATGAATCCAATATGCGATTCAGGATATTAAGTTTCTAGCAGTAATAAATGTTGTGCGGCTTTTTGTTGTGAAGTGTAATGCATGCAAAAATACACAATCATTTCTCCGTTAGAGACAAGTAATGAATCTAATGGACAGTTAAGCTTATCTGCCTGATGGTTTCATTACACACGCAAGAATGCATTGTAGGGGATTACGGAAAGGGGGGGGGGGGGTGTAAACTTTTACGTCAAAATTGCGTTGGCTGCGCAAACGAAAACCTCCTCTCTTTACATTCTCCCCACCCCCGCTATTACGTAACCGGACGGCGCCTACGCACAACCGAACGCTACGCCCGATCCGCTAATGAAGAAATCGCGCACACAAATGGGATAGACAAAACGCGTTTCTTCGATATTACCTAGATTTGCGGTTCATTCGCACCGAGACGTGCACCAGTGTTGTCAACAAACTCGGGCACACGTGAGGGCCGCCGAACAGCTGACTTGGTCGTTCGCAGCCAATGGGAATGCAAAACGCGAAGCACGAATGAAAAAAAAAAAAAAAAAAAAAAAAAAAACCAAGCTCCGTGGACCTCGTTTTCCGCACGGCTCCGGTTGGCTTGGCCGTTCGATTTACTTTACCTCGGCGCGAGCAAACGCTGAACACGGCTTCTACTAAACCAGGGGGGGGCGGCGCAGCTAACCGCGACGAGATCGTACACAGCAGCAGCCGGATATGTCGCGATCATCGTGCAGAAAGCGTGTGCGAAACTACGACACAGAGCGAGACGCGAATGCAACAAACGAATGTACGTATTGCGCGGCACGACCAAGGCCATTTATAGAGTGTGGCAGAGAGAAACTCGACTTCTCTACACCGAAGCGGATCCGTGCAAAGCTAAAATCAGAGCCGATCGCGAAGTCGAAAGAGACCGCGACACGACGTCGCCAAGGAATTCTCCTTGCAACGACGTCGCGGGGAGATCGGAAGGAGGTGTTGGAACGAAAGCTTTAAAAACGGCACAGCCAGCGCTAAAAAGGTGGTGACGACGGCGCTTGTAAGGTGCAAGGCGTGCCGAGTGCAAATGTCGGAAAATTTTTACCTCATCGTGGTCGGTGTCTTTCCCTTGAGCATCGCGGAACGGGGCTTCGGCAACAAAATCCGAACGGTATTCTGCACACGCCTGGTCTCTCAGGGAGGGAACCGTCGGCGATCTTCTTCCTCGCCTTCTTTTTTTTTTTTTTCTACCCGCTCACCGTTTGTTGCGGTACGCGAGAGATGAGCGAGGAGGAGCCAAAAAATAAGGAGCGCATCCTCCTCTCTCTCGAACACGAGTTCGGAAGAGAGAGGAACGTGAGAGAGAGAAAGCGAAGGGCGGCCGCCGAATAAACTCAATATGAGAAACAGCTGGAGATATCGCCTCAGTTTCGGTACAGTCTAGTTTCGGAAAGAACAACAGCGCCTCCAGGGAGCGAAACCGAAACTGCCCCCCATGGCCTCCGACATCGGGCGCGGGAATCACTGAGGCTTCTACCGATTTCTTCAGCGTCCGATAGAGAGCAGGATCGGTCCACCGCCAACGTTTACGCAGGTCGAGGTCCCCTATGCCCCGATTGTTTGCCCCGTTGCGACGACTGACCGCTGCACTGGGGTGCGACCGCCTGTCTCGTTGATCCTTTTCTTTTTTGTCTTCAAAGCTCGAACACCTGTCGTAACGACATGTTTTTACCGTCATGTCCGTGGTTTAAAACTTCCTTACGATCACTCACTCGCGTAAAAACCAGGCAAAAAATGGGACCGACCTAGCGGGGTGGCCATCGATATTTGCTTGGCATCTCGCCAGAACCGGCGCTCCGCCGTCGCAATTTTGCCGGCGTTCTCTGGGCTACGTTTGTTGGCATATCATCACACGCCCGCACTGCGTGCAGTAGGTAACGGAAAACCTTCGAAAGATAGAGATGCAATCGCTCCGCGCCTCATGGACTTGTTCGAGGCGCGCGAGTCATACGTGCGCGTCTACGCAAGAAAGCGTACGCTTACAGCCATGCCCCATGCTGAGAAGACGCAAAAGATGAGCGATGGATTCGGATAGGTAAGTTTCCAGGCGCAGCGTGATGATGATGTTCCGGCGCAAGACATGAAGAGGCGCGATATTGCCGTCGTTTCGGCGCACGTAGCTGACACCGTAATGTGGGCCGTGCCCAACGTTTGAGAGATAGAGAGGGAAAACGTTTCATTTAAATAAAAAAAAAAAAAAGTCGCAGTTTCGGCACAAGGCCGAAGCAATAAATGCGACAGCAACACATCGGAAGGCAATGTAGTGAGCATGGTCGATTGTGCTTGAATAGAGTGCAGTAACCACAGTATCTAAACATGTGTGGTCGTGAATAGTTGACTGCGTTACGTCCGGCAGGAAGCGAAGTCCGATTTCATCATCGATAAACTTGACACGCCACTGGTTTTCACGTCGAAGTACATTGAAGTTGAAGTACTATCACCGGCACATCCTGTAGCCACACCGCACGGAAGTTGTGCAGCAAGAAGTTGATGACGTCGGCCCGCAAGGTTTCTGGTGAGGTGTACACTGTTAAGTGACGACGAGGCCGTGCGATGTTGTAAACGTGGCCACAACTCATCTGGGTAGAATGACCTCTAGTCTGGGGCAGCGAGTTGAATTTGTCCGTATATGAAATGGCAGTGCGCATTTAGACGGGAACCGAAATCACAGACACGACAGGACCACCAACTTCCCAAATAGTACTGGACTGGATTCAAGCAAATTTTTTCCTGTTGCTTTAGAGTGAATGTGGAGCCGGAGACATTTTGAAATGCCCCTTTCGTCCAACAGTATGTGTTTCAGTGAACCTGTCCTTCCATTGTTATCAATCCATCGGGCATGTCGAATGTTTCAATTCAATTCAATTTCAATTTTCAAAATTTGTTTTATTGTTTTCTTGTACAAGACACAAGAAACAAAAGGATGTTGGGGCTAAAGGCATATAGCCTGACAGAGGACCCAACACCCTTGTACACAGTTCGTACATCACAAAAAAAATAAAAATAAAAAACAGCTTTCGCGGCATCCAGACCTCCATGAACAAAAGAAGCAACAGAGCAAAGAATAGCTGACAAAATATCATGTTACATTGAATCTGACTGATTATACAAATCTTGTAACATACTTACTACATCATAAAATACTTAAATAACATTCACTCAGGAAGGAATCAGACTAGAACATTAGAGACATGTGATACATACCATTACACTTTATAGTTAATAAAATACATGCAGTACAAGATTTCCATCGCCCGTTTGGGAAAGCACTTATGGCTTGTCCAAAAAAAGTACATGGCTTGTTCAAGAATGTTTTTTTTTTTTTTCAAGTCCACTGTCAGTGAGCTAGTGGCAAATTCGTCATTAGTGTGACCACAGACTCCTATGATTTACCTTGCCTCCCGTATTATCAGAGGTCACTTGAGAAGCGGCCTTGCCGGAACTGCGGTGGTGGCGCCACATAAGTAGGGTTCTCTTCAAATAATTTTTTTTTACGTTTTTGGAGCTTATATGCAACACAAATAACTTTTGAGTTTCAAAAAGGCGTAAACGTAATTATAATTATCATTAATCCTGCGTAAGTGACGCCACCATAGATGACGGGCGTTTCGCACTCATTCAGCGGGCAACCCCTTCAATACAAGACATAGCCTCTGAAATTAGCAAACGCCAAAGTTGCCGATCTCAAAGGCCAACTACAAAGACCCTTAACCCTACGTAGGTAGCGCCGCCATAGATGACGGGCGTTTCGCGCTCATCCAACAGGCAAGAAAAAATATAGGAGGCTATGGTGTGACGGAAGTATGAGCGGCGTGGCTTAGTTGGTTAATGCAGCGCGCTGAGTGAGGAGTCGCTGGTTCGAATTTCCAATAGGTGCCTTGAAATTTTTACTTTATTTGTACTTTTCATATACACATACTTAGACATATCCGGGACATGAGGGCGAAGGAAAAAATCAGCTGAGAGTGTCCATATAACTGCTATCGCAATCAAATGAAAAAAAAAACATTTTCTCTCTGTCAAATGTTGGGCACGCGCACATTGTGATGACAGCGATATACGCGTGCCCAACATTTCAGATAGAAAAAAACGTTTTATTTTAAAACAAAACGTTCCAACATTTGAGTTAGTTCTTTGACTTTCGCTAATTGCAAATTGGCCTTTCACAACAAAAGCAGGCTCATCTGCCAGGAGAAGAAACCACCAAAATTAGATAAAGAAAAAAATGGAGATGGCGACTCTACCCTCGGATTACCGAACCGACTCGCCGGCCGTGACGTAATAAGAACTGGCGGACGCCGTCGTCTTGGACCTAGGCACTATCTCTGGCCTCGAACTTATCACACCACGTCGCAAGAACACAAGGGACTTGACATGTACGCATGTCTCAGCGAATTGTATCGAGTCGTCAATGTGGCCAAAATACGAAATGAGGCTTTCAATCAAGTTCCGTTCAGGCATTCAAATAAGGCTTCCAAGATCCATTGCCATTCAGGTGCTGGATTTTCGGCGCCAAAATCGAAAATGGAACATCAACCGTCATTTTTTTCTAATACAATGAACATCATATCACGACATTAACGTCTACAGAGGGCTCAATTATTATAATGCACCTACACGGACGCGTATTTCAGTTCAGTGTTCCTTAAAAATGTTTTGCATGCTGTTGCGACGCGCGCCTCCGACGACGTTACGAAGGGCGCTTCGAAATCTCACCGCTGCCACCACTGTTGCGAAAGACGGCGACGCCAACACGGTCCCGAAGGCGCCACTGCTTCGAACTGCGCCGGGAAGGTCACCAGCCGTTTGGTAGCGTAGGTTTCTCAGCTCGCGACTGCTTCTGCGCAGAGCTGATAGACGAGCGGACGAGACGACGGTGAGTTAGACAAGGTTTATGTACAGCATATATACAGAGGCGTTACAAATTCGGCACTGGAGCCGACAGAGACGCGAAGAGCCGAGCTCTTCTCTCTATCACATAGCTCTACTCTCAAATGGATCTGCTGTCAAAGGGGTCCCTCTCGACGCGCCGCAGGGCTTCTTTTATATGCCCCGGGTCCAACCCAAACGTCCAACCCGAAGCGCCGCTGGTCGCGAGGTCAGAATCCTCCAATGAGGTCGCCGCTGGGCCGCGTCCTTCTTTCTCATCGAATCTGGAGAGGCTGCGCTGCAGGTGGCTGCACCCAAGGACGATTGACGTCGCTAGGCATTGCGTCAGCCGCCAGACAGGAAGACGCCGATTGCTTGCTCGACGGGCTCGCTTGCTGAGGTGACTCACTGCACGTGCACGCCAGAAAGGCGCCGTCGCGTGATGACGCCGTTGAGTTGTTCGTGTCAGGCGGGCTGGCCTTGACACAGATTGCCTTTTTCAGAGGCACGGACGTTCGCTGTGGACTCGCAGGCATAACAATGCATACGCAATATCAGGCAAATTTATTACCGAAGCGGAGCGTTCAGACATTTCTACTAAATAAATGAACTTGCTACTGAATTTAACTTGCAGTCGCGATTTCACAGCACAGCATCTCAATAAATAAATAAAATAATAATAAATAAATCATCATTCGTGTGACCGTTCATTGGTTGCGGACTTGGTATTGGCATCTTCGTGGCGCCACGGGCACTCCTCGAGTAGTAGGTGGGCCAGTGTGTCTGGCACGTCGCATATCGGGCACTTGTAGGCGTATGGCGTTGGGTAGATTCTATAGATGCAGTAGGGTGCCGGGTGTATAAGTGTTAGCTTGAAGTCTCCGAAATGCTGTGGCCTCTTCTTTAGTCAGCTTGGCGTGAGGTGGCGGGTACACTCTGCGAGCTAGACGATAGTGTTGTAGGATGGCGTTGTATGTTGGTGGTACGGTCTCCACTTCTGCAGCGCTGGCTAACCACGGGTCAAGCGAGGCGCTGAGGAAGGCCCGGTTGACGTGACCGCGGGCCGCGGCGTGAGCCGCTTCATTTCCCTCGTGCCCCCGCACCCATACCACGCAGGTGTAAGGAAGTGGAGTTCGGCTCTTTCTCAGAATTTTGAGAGCTTCGGCGGAGATTATGCCTCGTGTGTAATTGCAGACAGCGGATTGGGAATCTGTGAAAACTACGACCGCGTGCTTACCAGTCATAATGGCAAGGGCGATCGCTGCTTCCTCGGCAGACTCAGAGCTCCGCAC